CCGGCCAAGTGCGAGTCGGGCTCGCGCACAAAGGGTTCCGTAGCAGCAAATATAAGGTGTTATTTTTTGTACTGATCATACTTTACCAAGGCATCTAATAAAATCATACAAATACAACCCAAGTGTTTTTAAAAAAAAAATCAGGCTAGTTTTTGTTTTTACTTTTCCTAACAAAAAAAGATATTATTTTTACAACCATCCTGTCTTCACTCACTGCCTCTCTCTCTTTCTTTACTCATTTCATTCATACGAGTACGAACAATGGCCGCGCGCGTTCATTCAACGTTCACACACATAAAGGTTAGATTACACTAAGCCTACGTTACCAAAAAATATCACTCGTGAGTATGTACGATGTTACGTCATGTTAATGGGTACTACGCGCTGGGAGAAACAAAATCTAGCTACATAAGTAGGTAAATAAGTGTATTTTCATTAGTGTAATAGCGGGGGACTTTTCCAACGAACCGAGGCGAATCATCCGCGTTAAACTAGAAATTTAAAAAAGGATAGAAATTGGAATTCAATATCTACGGTTTCGTAATGCCTACGCAATTTATTTAGAGACGTAATAAAAAATTGATAGGTACATACCTATTACTACTTCGCTTCGCTTCAGTGGAAATGCACCCTAATATTGAATATGAATAGGTGTTGTAAATAAAACTCACTGATCAATTTATTAAAACGGTTTGTGCTGTGAAAGGGTGTCTAAAATACATCAGAAAAACGAAAGAAAGTGACCAGTGTTACATTTCATAAGTAAGTACTACAATTCGACGCGTATTTTGCTTGAATTTGGCTTTCAAAAATTAAATACGGGAATGATACCAGTAACAAGAAAATTTATTTCCCAATTGTTCGCCGTACAAATACACTTCCTTTTTTATGAAATCGAGACTTTTAAGTCGATTTATCTTATTGTTATTAGGTAGGTACTTTGAATTCAATAAATAAGTAAGTACATGATGCGTTTTGTTTTTGTTAATTATAAAATAATTAAAAACGTATTAAAAATTTCCCTACTTTCGGGAAAATCGCCTTCACTGTCTACACTCCCCAAAAAAATTGACACTAATGACATAAGATTTTTGCCTCACTCTTGACGAAGCGTTTGTATGAAGACTATCCATCTAGGTTTTATTAATCTAAGGTCCTAAATTAAATTGGAGAAGTTATACATAAGCAAAAAGGATTTCTTTTGCTTATAACTTCTTCAATCTTTAATTTAAGGCAAAAAGTTATATTAACATATTTGTAGGCAAAGCAATTTTCTACAAATTATGACTGTACAATTTTTTTGTACGACGCATAGTTTCCGAGACATGCACGCGGGCAACCGTAGCACAGGGGCCACGCTGCGCGGGCCCCCTGTGCTACGGTTGCCGCATGCCCCGCAACCCAGGCCGTGGGGGGCCCGCGCAGGCTGGGGCCCGGCTGGCAAATGCCACCCCGACTGTATGGCCAGTCCGACGCTGGGTATAACTAATAAGGCACTTAAAATTCGAATATTCATAATCTATTTATTTACACAATAGGTACTTACCTCCTACTAAAGTATATAAGCTAGGACCAGACATCTCATAAATAACATTATGTACATAGTTTGTTGACGTTAATTTTACTGACTATAAATTATTAGAATTTTTAAATTAGCTAGGTACCTAATAATTATTCAGTTTTTTTCTACAAGCCACTATAAAGATAATAATGGACTTCAATAACAAAGTTGTTGTAATTACCGGTGCCAGCTCTGGCATCGGCGCCGAGTGTGCCCTGCTGTTCGCGAAGGCATCCGCCAAGCTCGCGCTGGTCGGAAGAAACGTTGACAACCTGATGAAAGTCGCGAACTCGTGTAAAGATTTCACATCGGAACCTTTGGTCATTGCCGCGGATCTATGTGTGCAGGACGACGTTAAGCAGATTGTCAACAAAACTCTCGCCCATTTCGGAAGGCTCGATGTGCTAGTGAACAACGCGGGGATCATGGTTCTGAGAAGTATCGAAGCCGGCATCGACGCATTCGAGGAAGTCGTACGAACAAACCTGTGGGGGCTTTTTCTTTTGACGGACCTGGCCATGCCGCATTTGATCCAAGCCAAAGGAAACGTCGTTAACATATCCAGCATGCTGTCTTCCATGCCTGTGTCCATGATGACGGCTTATTGCATGTCTAAAGCGGCGGTGGATATGTTCACCAAATGCGCCGCCGTTGAGTTTGGGCCCAAAGGTGTTCGAGTCAACGCTGTGAATCCCGGGCCAGTGAAGACGGCATTAATGAAAAATGCGGGACTTAATGAAGAAGCTAACGACTTATTTTATTCCACACTGGAGTCGGCGAGTCCTTTAGGAAAAGTAGCATGCGGCAAAGATGTAGCCGAGGTCGTGTTGTTTTTGGCGAGTGATAAAGCGTCCTGTGTCACTGGAAGTTGCTATCAAATCGATTGCGGAGCAAGTATTAGGGAACTAAGTATGCTTTAATTTTTTTTTATGTGACAGCAGGCCAACGAGCAGAAGGATCACCTGATGGTAAGTGATTACCGTCGCCCATAGACACCCGTAGTCCCAGGGGCGTTACAGGTGCGTTGCCGGCCTTTAAGATGAAGATACGCTCTCTTTTTGAAAGCTTGCAGGTCGTATCGGTCCGGAAACACCGCAGAACGCAGACGACAGTCCATTCCACAGTTTGGTTGTACGGGGCAGGTAGTTTCTAGAGAAACGTACGTACTGTTGTGGACTGCCAACCATCTAAGTGATGGGGGTGGAAGTGCTGTCGGGTAGATCGGTGGCGAAAAGTGGCGGCAGGAATAAGTCCGGACAATTCTTCGGAGCACTCCCCGTGATACATGCGATAGAAGATGCACAGTGAGCATACCTACATCTCTACGCAGCGCCAAGGGGTCAAGCCGATCCGAAATGTCCTGGCAGTCAACGATTCGAGCTGTTCTCCGTTCAATGCGGTCTAGAGGGAGAAGCTGGTACTGGGGCGCACCTGCCCAAAGATGAGAACAGTATTCCATATGAGGCCAAACCTGCGCCTTTAAAGTTGCAGACGATGGGCCTGAGTGAAATACTGTCTCGATCTATTGAGCACACCAAAATGTGACCATGTAAAATGTAACCATCGGTGTTGAGTTTACAATTGTTAAGTTTCTTTTTTCATATAAGTTTTAGTTTATTGTAAACTTGTTTGTGGTTCATTCAATAAATAAAAAATCCCACCCTCCCTTCCTCTCCAAGTTTCCATGGAAATACCCCAGCTTCTGCCCGGGGGGCGATAACTATAAGTCATACCTAGTTTCTGGCCTAGTACCTGCCCATTCATGCTTCCCCCTGGGTACGCCTATGCCTCCATAGGTTGTCTGGTAGATATCGCTTCACATAAGACCGACTAAATTGTGTTGTCTCGTTGGTAATAAAGTGTTTCATATCTACTTATAAGTAGCTACGTTGTAAGTGTTGTAACCTATTATGTTATTTGTGACTGGTCTCCAATAAATCACTTGTCCAAAGTAGAACTTAAGTACGACTTCTTGATCTTCTTGTCTAGTGCGATTGGCAAAACTGATCACACTCGTTCGAAAAAATTCTCTACCAATGAATTTATAATTTCGTTTAACAGAAATTATGTACCTTTTTTTTATCCACAACGAGGAAGCTCTTGGCCTGTATCTCACCTGATGGTAAGTGATGATCAGGCCGAACGAAGGTGGAAGCGAGCTTCACCCGGAATCCTCAACGGAGGACTGTTAGTATTTCAACATCCTTTAAATTTTTTAAGACTGGATGTTAAGCTTATCAGAGGTACCTGTACTTGGCGATTGACCAAGCACTGCATGCCATGCAGTTTTACGCCCGTATTCACAAACATTACTATGAGGTCTCAGTGTGCGTGGACGCACAGGGTGACACACGAACCAATCACGGAGCTCTATTCAACGCTATGCGTTCGATTCATTGAGTTATTATCCAACTCTATGGTTCGATTTGCTGCTGCTTCACATAAGTTATATTACTGTATAAAAACTTTTATTTTATCAAAATCGGTTCAGTGCTTAGGCGTGAAAGTAAAATTGTGTTTGTATAGGTATTTGTTAAATTGTAAGGGGTAATCTCTCGGATTCTACTGAACAAATTTTTAGAATTCTTTCATCAATAGAAAATTAAAAAGCCACATTATTGTTAACGGATTTTGATGAAACCCTCATCAAAATCAATAACTTTGTATTGACCTGTTTGTAGAGAGAGAGAACTGGCTTCAGATAAAATAGGATTTGTAATAATTAATTTTAACTAGGTACACATTGATATTCCTTTGTTCTACAGTAAAGCTCGTAGTAAATAAAACGCAAGCATAGTTTATAAACTGGTTTTATTAATTTAATCCTCCTCCTCGTCGGCCGCGGCGCCGCCCGCCTGTCCCTTTCTCAGGTTCTTCCTCTTGACGCGGCCCGGGCGGCCGCCGCCGAACGGAGACTTCAGCGAGAAGTCGATGTGTTTGCCCGAGTCCAGGCGGACGATGAACGACGGGATGTTCACGACTTGCTTGCGGACGCTGTGGGAGGAGAGATAGGTTAAGGCTGATACAAGTATGTTATGGTAGACTGTAAAATTGTATCCACTTTGAGCATGCGACTTAGCGGCACGAAATCTGCACGCTCGGCTTACGCGGTACCGAAAGCTTACTAAAATATTATACTCTATGAAGCTTACCGAGCGCCTATTTCAATGGAGCGTTCCTGATTGAGTCTGTGCTGCGCCAATCAGGAACGCTCCATTGAAATATAGGTGCTCGGCAAGCTTTCGGTACCGCGTCTGCCGCCCCAAGTCAGAAAACAGTCTAAGTGGATACAGATACAAACAATACAAGGCGTATTTTACATGATAAGCAGAAACTGCTTTATATGAACAATGTAAATAAATTAACATGTTGAGAAAAAAAATTTTTACTGAAAATTAATAGGAAACAAAATATTACTGAACAATCATGTACTAAGTGCAATTAAAACTCCTGTGAATTCTTTCTAGTTATCCCAAGGTCAACTGGCAGAGAATGCACTAAGTTCACCTTATGTACCAATTTATATGGCTAAATAAGTCGTCCCTTTAGAATAAGTAAGTACGATATTAAGATCTCAAAAATAACATAACCAGCAATACATTACCTGAATGCTCATACAATGAGCTTAAAATTTCAAGACATTGAATTCAACAAGTTGAAATTCAAGTGGTCTTTAGGAATATTTGTCAGCAGTGTTCAAACCACAGCAGCTGCTTCATAGCTGCGATCGCACTCGCTACCTGCATTTGATATCCACTTCAATGCATTGTACAACAAACAATGAGGATGTTTAGACGATGAATTGGTTAATAAGAACATTATTAATATTCGAGATAATTTATGAAGTTATGAGCTTATTCTTACCGGATATGCCTCTGTCTGATAAGGATGCGGGCATGATGGATGGATTTGGCGAGACCAGCCTTGAAGACCTGAGTCTGCAGACGGCGCTCCAAGAAGTCCTCGATCTTCAGACCGAGCACGTAATCGAGCTTCATCTGCTTCTCGTCCAGCACTCCGATCCTCACCAGACGACGGAGAAGGGCATTGCCTGGAAACACATACATGAGGTAATTTAGATTGTTTTATTGAATCTCAGATTTAATACCATGTTGGGTATCAGTAACATGTGATTTTGTCAACAATGGTTGTTCTGACAAGAGGTTGCCAGATTTTATCATCATAAAACATCGTAGTTTGGATTAAGTTGTCAGAGTACAGTAGGGTTATGTTGAGTGCAATATTTAAAACATAAACCACTTAGAAAACAAGTTACCAATAATGAACATAGATGCTACATCCATTTTAGATTTAGGTTATAAATCAAAACAAAGATTATTTACCATGTGGCTTCTATAAACTGTAAAGAGATAATCCAATCCATGTGGTATTATTTACTAACCTTCAAACAATCTCTTGGGGTCTTTCTCTTCGAGGGTCAGCAGTTCACGGGCGGCCTTACGGATCCTGGCCAGAGTGTACTTGACTCGCCACACCTCGCGCTTGTTGCGGAGGCCGTACTCTCCGATGATCTTCAACTCCTGGTCGAGTCGTGCCTTCTCGAAGGGACGACGCGGGGTCACGTATGTCTTAGAAAACACCGACGGCACGCGGTTGTTCACCATCTTGGCGAGCTAAAACCACGGTACACAATGAAATCAGTATCACATGCACGAGACACTCATGGCGACCAGCTTTTTTTGGGGGTTTGTCGCCACAAACCGTTGCAAGCGTAAATGCCCGATTTCTACTGGACAAAAATCAGGTTGTAGTACACTTGGGAATCATAATTCGTGGCAATACTATAGCCTTGTTGTCCAAACACTGCGAGTAAACGATGGGGAGTCGCAATGGTCTACTTCAAGGCATAAAAAAAATTAGAGGTTAAAGAAAACACATCAACTCACATCGGTAAAATCACTGGATAAAAATATGAAATAGAATAATTTGCAACAATAATGATGAAAGCAGTACACAAAAATGTAATTATTTCATTTCTGAATCTTAAAACATGAAAATAAAATCACAATCACCTGGTTCCGATACCACGGCTCGCCGAAAAAGAAATGAACGATGTCAAAAAAAGACAGACATACTCAGGGTGTGGAAACTTCCATACAACGGTCATCGAAGTGAAACTTGCTTCCAAACAGCGACATCGGTGAATAAATTCAAACACTTTTTAACTACCCTAAAACGCTCTAGATGTCACTGCTCCTGTTTCCTTCATATTTTCATTTTTTTCTTAATTAAAATATATTTGAGAATATTGTAAATTACAATGTGAAAACTTTTTTTAAATGAAATTAATTTATTTTAATTTAAAACTAAACATTGACATTTTTGTTATAATTTACATAATAGAGTAGTAGAAATTACTATTTAACATATGGCAACTTTGTTTTTCCTCCAAAATGGCCGGTGTTGTTTTTGTTATGTTAAATGCATTCTTGTTTTCTTAGCCATCATTTAAGTTTTCTGTGGCCCTATTAAAGTATTGAAGAGTCGTCGAGTCAAATTCAAGTTCATTCCTTCGTACCTGCTGCTGTTCTGGTTCATCGGAGTTTTGTTCGTTCCTTCGTGAATCGCGAAGAAACTTTCTGTTATGTTCACAAGTGATCTGAGTTTTCTCAATGTGCAAATGCTTTTTAGTGTTGTTGAAAACTTTGCGAAAAGACGCTTTTGGTGTATAATATTATGTGTTCATAAATAAAGTAAAATTATTAAATTCAAAAGTTTTTGTTTACTTATTTGCATTTCCATGTGCAATGTAGAATTTTTCCAAATCCATTGTTTTGAAAATAATACAATACGTACACCATAAAGATAAATATTTTCAAAATAATGGATTTGAAAAAATTCTACATTGTACATCATAAAAACAATAATTCTTTGAAGGTTATGAGGGCCTATGTGTGCGTGAACTGTGTGTATGTGTGCGTGGACTTTATGTATGTATGTGTGCGTGTACTATGTATGTATGTGAGCGTTACGTACGTAGGTTAAGTACAGGGAATTTAACACCAGGCTGTCAATTAGTAGGTTCAAAAATTTGACAGAGAGGGTTCTCTATTTCCTATGTATTACTTTTCTCTATGGACATACTGATGACATTGACAGTTCTCTAATATTGTCTATGAATGATGATTGTTTATGGGTTGCCAATCATGTATAATGCTACGGTTATGAAATCGACTAAACTGTAAATATCATAAAAATGGAGTCGATTTATAATATTTTAATCAGTATTTAACCCTTCTACTCATACCCATAGGTTGTCTAGTACCCATAGTATGACCTAGTATGACATACAAAGCTTTACTTAGTTTGGGTAGTTCGTTCGTTCGTTCCAGCCAAAATGACGTTCACAGCTGGACAAAGGCCTCCTCCAAGGTTTTCCACAATGCACAGTCCTGCGCTGCCCGCACCCAGGCTCCTCCCGCGACCTTTGGGTATTTCGCCGAAACAGTAAATTTTCTGTGTCCAGGCAGGCAAACACATGTTTTTTTATATCTAATAAAACTCTTTTTATGGGAAAGTTCATCAAAAGTTTTATTTGTTTTTGCTATTACAATAGCAGAAACTACAAATAATACCGTAGAAAAACTTAATCAAAAGTCGTTTTTCTAATTTCCTTGTCATGTCCATTACTGTTGTTTGCCAAAATGAAGGCTCATTATAACAAATTGAAGCGTAATTTAATTTTAATAGCACTCTCTTTACATTTGAGAAACGTTTGGCTATCGGAAAATAAAAACTTTAAATGTCAAATACTTATAGGAAGAAAATAAAGTGAAGTTAAGTTCTTGTCCAGGTCAAAAGTATAATTTCCCTGGGTCTTCGTTTCGACCATTGTTGTAACAAAACGAAAAAACTTAGAATGTAACGCACTGCACCACTACACTCGGCCATTTCGTCCCAAGAGGCCATTGAGGCAGGACAGCACGTCGTTGATCAGTTTCGCGACAAATCGCATAAATAGGTCCCTCCTTGGGTTTTTGTTTACTAAAAAGTCAATTTCTTTGGACGGTTTTTTGCAACTAAACAATGGATTAATTTTATTGTTTATTTACACAAATGTAGTGTCTGTAGGGGTAAACCCATGATTGAAATAGTAAATGTATAGGGTATTATAAATAGGTTTTTGTCTGTGGTGTCTTTTAGGCATAAATCTAATTTCTTTGGTCCTAATTTCCTTGTTTTCCGTGGCATAAAATGACCTAGGAAATTATAAAAGACCATTAATAATTCGGCGTAAAGTCAAATTTTGAGTATTTCTTTATTGGAATAAGTTTAAAATTTACATTTTAAGAAATAGGTATCAGAATAGATATAGAAAAACTTGTTTTTAACTTTTAACTCAATCTACTGCATTTATCTCCCTTAGTTGTGTAAAAAGGTCGTAATGATATAATATTCATTGGCATGTTTGCTTGCGAAAGTACACAAAAATAGGTCGAACAAAAAAAAGCATACCACAGAAGAAAACTTAGAGAAAAAAATATTTATAATAATTTCCTTGGCTACCAAAAATTTATGACCTCATAACTTTGTTTCTAAAACGAATTATGACACCCCTTCTAGATAAATTAGCTTAGTTTTTACTACTTAATGCAATGGGAAACTAAAAATAGTTAAAAACAAAAATAAAATTAGTGCTAAGGAAATTAGGCAAAATTGGCCATTTTTGGCGAAATACCCCTTTACCAGATCGTCGGTCCACCTAGTACGAGGCCTGCCCACGCTACGTCTTCCAGCCCGTAGTCACCACTCGAGAACTTTTCTGCTCCAACGGCCATCGTTTTACGAGCTATGTGCCCCGCCCACTGCCACTTGATTTTAGCAATTCTGCGAGCTATGTCGAATTTGGGTAGGCGCAGTGTAAAGTGTCCAAGGATGTTTTATATTAAAATTTATGGTCATGGTGACTTTATTACTGGCGACAAATGTTTAAAGATGATTCGGCTATCTTTCTAGATGGAAGAACCAAAAAATTATGAGCTCGTTTCCATTTATCGAGTGTCGGCATGTCGGCCCTACCACTCGGCGAGGCAAGAGTAGACATAAATAAAATAACACCTTAAAACAAAATGTACAATGTATATTCTATTAATTACTACAACATTTGTAAGTAACAATAAACATAGAAAACTAAACTGTATTAGAATTTTTTATACTTCAAGAAACTTCTATATTTTTTAGGATTCAATCCGTAAGCTTTTAACCTTTCGTCCGATAGTTTAGCGAGCGGGTTATCACTTGAATTATCATTCTGCTTACTTTTAAACTTATTATTATTTTTAAACTTATCCTTTTGTTTTGCTTTCTTGTTGAATTCTTTATTACTATTTTGACCATTAGTTACGTTAGACGTATTCTTCTTCTTTTTTATTGGTATTTCATTTGAACCTTCTAATTTTCGTTTTAGATCTTTTTTAGTTTGTTGGTTATTTTCAATTCCATTTATCTTCTTGTCTGTGTCTTGACTGGGTGTCTGATTTGTTACATTCTCCACAGTAAACTGATTCACTTGTTTTTTCTTCTTTTTTGTTTTCCTCTCTTCGAACGAATGGTTATTCAGACCATTTTCTGTATTCATGGCACTGACGTTCGTTTCGGCAGAATTTGCATCAGCATTGGCTTTATGTTTTTTCTTCTTTTTAACTTCTGTTGAAGCACTATCTTTACCTACTTCATGTTTTTTCTTTTTCTTGTCTTTAGTTTCTTCTTCCCCCTCAACACTTGCGTCATTATGTTCACTAGCATTCAGTTCATTGTGTTCTGCTGTAGTTTCAAAGTCCTCAGAGATTTTTTGTTTATTCGTTTTCTTCTTCTTGTCTTTAACTTCTACTTTAGTTTCTTCCTGCACCTCTCCACTAGCGTCATTATTTTCGCTAGCATTTAGTTCATTGTGTTCTGCAGTGGTTTTTGATTCCTTAGCGACTTTGTCTTTATTCTTTTTCTTCTTTTTTTTCTTTTTGGAAGCCTGCTCCACGGGCACAACAAGTTCTGGCTCTCTGGAACAAGAAAACAGTGACATTCGAATCAAATCAAATCAAATCAAATAATCATTTATTGTGTTAGTTATATTCATCATATTATTGCTTCATTGGTGTTATTTTCGAAAAGATATTTCATAAAAAAAGAGAAAGAAAGAATTTAAAAATCATGGCATCTAAAATCTTGTTGATGCCCGTATTCGCAAACATCACTATGAGGTCTCACAGTGCGCGTTGACGCACAGGGTGACACATGAACCGATCACAGAGCTCTATTCAACGCTGTACGTTCGATTTGCTTTGCTTCACAAGCAAGCATCGTTTGTGAATACGGGTTACATACTGAAATGAGTAGTGTTGCCGTTAAAAATATGAATGTTTTAATTTCGGTAATCAAATAAACACATGGGGTTGGTTCTCGCTACGAAGAAATAGAAACCTTAAGGTCAAGGTCATGGTCATGCATCAACTTAGTTAAAGCGCGGGGAGCGGGGAGTTTGATCCGAGCAATCCGAGCGTCATTATTGTAATGTGCGTGTGCACTCATGGATGATTTAGTGTATATCGATAACACTCAAACGTTAGCGGAAGAATGGTGGGGCGCGCCTTCGTGGGTGATACGATATACACCACTACATTTTTATCACCGAAAAAATTTTAACAAGTTATGTAGAAACGTGTGAAAAATTTAAAGCAAAAGAAAAAGAAATGTTTTTCATAAAGTTAATTTTTTTGTTAAATTTTCTTTAGTCCTTATTTTACGCGTCACAGCTGGGTCACTCCGCTGCTCGCTAGTGTAGTCGTACGCGCTCGCATATTGCCCCGATCTGTCTGTCTCGCTCACGCCTCGACCACGCTTCCTGTTATTATTACATACTTAGCTAACTTAGACCATGTTGAGTTCTAATAAGTGTTACATTATCTTACGCAAATAGTGCTAGCGACGCGTGTGTCCATAAATTACCAATTTTAGGATGAAATTTTGAGTAACTTTATTTAAGTTTTTTTGCAATAAATAGGATCAGTATCAATAACTCATTACCGAGAATTTTTTTTTCGGTGATAAAAATTTAGTGGTGTATAGTACAGTCGCACTCACTCGGGCAGGTATCGGAACAGGCTGGGCAGCACTTTCTTCTTGAGCGCGGCGTCGGCGGCGCGCTGCGCGTACGTTTTGACTTCTCCCCGTTCCACGTTGTCGGGGCGGTGCCGTACAATCTTCTTCAGAGGCACCCACTGCGTTAGCTCCTTATCGTCGGCTAGCAGGATCTAGAACGGAACGGGTGTTAGAATAGATCTTAAGAATAGTAAAAGTTAAGGGTGTTTTTCTTTCTGATGGTATAGTGGTAGCGGCGTCGATTTAGAGTATATTTTCTTTTCTATGGCAATCCGCGCAGTTTGCGTCGTACCAGAGTTATGAAGTCCAATTAATTAGTTGATAAATTAATAAATGAACCATAGCCATAGACAGTTGTCTAACCATAGACTAATAGAAATCTCCGTGATAGGAAGAAGTATTATTTTATTGGATAGAAATAATGGCGAGAGATATACAGTATACACCATGCAAAGGTTAACCAAATAGCAAAAGTGGAATTATTCCACTACCTGATTCTTTCTAAGTTTAAGTTTACATGTTGGCAGACTCATTTCATCATAGATCGCATCTCCACCAATCAAATGAGATTGAAGCTCAATCAAAATTAATCAAAAACACAGTAACTATTCAGCAAAAGCGACAAAATGCAATCACCTCTTCAACAGTAAGTCCATAATCGTTCGGCACCACCTCCCTATACTTGAAGCGAGTCGGCAGGTCTCCTCCAATGATATCCTCACAATCCAGCTTATAATACTCCTCCATATACTGCGCGTAGCTCTTGTCGGCCTCAGGGACGAACTTAGGCTTCTCTACAGTGAGGATCTCTGCTAGCTTAGACTTGCGCTTGCGGTTCCTTCTCTTCTTGCCTAGAGTCTTCTGGATCTCTTCTAGAAGACCTGCTCGAGGTTGGTTCGGGTTGTAATCTGCGTCCATCTGTAATAATGATGTGTTTTGTTTTTATTATTGAAAAACAATTAGTTTTAGCACTAAATCAGCATTAATATTTCAAAACTATTTTTCAAAGGACTATAAAAATTTAAAGTAGTCAAATTAAAGTATGACTGAATAAAAATTAACGCAGATCTTTCACAATATTATATGCGTGAAAATCGGAGGATGGATGGACGTTTATTATTCCTAAAAACTGTTGGATGGATTTTAATAGATCTTCATCATTTATAAAAATCCACTAGCAGAAACTATTAAAAATAGTCTTACGTTAAACTCCTCATCTTCGCAGTGCGGTCCATCATCGTCCTGCGTCTCATGAGCTGCCTCCTCTTCGTACTTGTCCCAATTTTCTGGATAAAACATTTCAAAATTAACAAAAAAGATTTAATTCTAATTGATGGTTTATCGTTCTATTCAGCCAAACGACGTCCACTGTTGGAAAAAGACCTCCCTCAAGGATTTTCACAACGTGACCTTCACCAGATCGTCAGTCCACCTGGTGGGGTTTAATTATTTTCCATTGCATGCCAATCATACTAATTTTATAAAGGCGAAAGTTTGCGAGTGTGTATGTTTGTTACTTCTTCACGTCTAAACGGCTGAAGCGATTTTAATAAAATTTGGTATGGAATTACACACACACACACACGCACGCACGCGCGCGCGCGCACACACATACACACACACACACACACACACACACACACACACACACACACACACAACACATAGGCTACGTTTTATCGCGGGTAACACCGCGGGGCACAGAGAGTTTCGAAATAAACTCGTACCGATTTCGAGTTCCTCGTCCAAGTCGGGGAACACTGGTTTCTGGTCGTCGGCCTGTCCGTAGAACTCGGCGTCGAACAGCGCGCGCATGCGCCGATCATGCTCCTCCGGGTCGAAGTCGCCCTCCAGGTCCTCCTCCTGCGAAACAAATTATTTGCTTCCTGAGATATCATAAACTCCATTTTCGGTAGCAGATTGTATCCTTAGCAGACTGCAATCAAACGCCCTTTCTGCTAGTATCTTAATCTGTAAGTCTAGATATTAGCACGTCACTACCTAGTTTAATATACCACGCAATTTTGTATACTCATTCTTATAAGATACACCATACAAGAATGCATGGTAAATTCAGTGAACTGCTCCTGAATCGAATGTACCTACTACTGCTATTTCTATTTATTTATATTAACCGGCAGACAGTGGTGACTGAGTTTGTTGCGGCGCTTCTTCTCAGCACTTGCCAAATGTTGGTCTCGAAGCGCTGGTAGGGTAAAAAGATTGAGACATGTAGAGGCTCCTTAAGAGCAAAATGACGATTTGTAAGAACTATTTATTAGTCTAAACAAATAAAGTTTTGACTTTGACTTCTTTCTCAGCTCGCCCGCACCCCGCGAAGGCCCCCTCAACAGCAAAACGTTCGGAATTTATCAAAAGTAAAATTTATGAATGAAAGTAATGTTCGATTGAAAAACGCAACGTGTCATTTAAAGATTAAAGAATTCTTAATCTATTCATGCAAAAATCTTTAAAATTAACATAGCCGTTTGGGAGGAGTAGGGAATTGAAGTAAAAAATCGATGTCCCGTATTTATTTTTTTAATCCACATCAAAGAGACGTAGGAAAAATTCAAACGTGTCAAATGTAGTCCTTGAACTGTTGTATAACATATATTTTTTTCAACTATTTCTGTCCAGCAGTAAAAGAGGAGTAGGCTTTACAAAATGACCATTTTACGCGGATTGAGGACACTAATCGCCTTAAGTTAAAACTGCGAGTATATTATTAGGTACTTTATAAACCAAAATTGTAAAAGTGCCAAAGACAAAAAAAAGTTATGTGATTCCGATATAGTAGAAAAGAACCATCCGCTCTTCCTGATTTCGGGACTTCGGTAGAATATGCGAACGTCAGATCTTCTCAATCCGCCAGCTTGGTTGGAATATGAGCCAAGACCTCGATTTTGCCTCTGATAAATTAGAGGGTTGTTCCACTACAGTGGATAAACTAAATGATGCGGGCCGTGATAAAATCTTATCGATGATTTTAGACGTCAAATGTATGGGCTTATCGCGTAAAATCGGTAAAACATTGAAAAGGGTCCTACTATAAACGTTTAGCATCCTAGACATACTGACGATGTTAAAATATCTTACTTTAAACGCGAGCTCCTCGTTCCCCGTGACTTCTTTAATCTTTGCGATTTTCTCATGTATTTCCTTGAGCTTGAGCGCCTTGAGCCGTCCGATCTCTTCCATCTTCCGCGCCTTCTCTTGTTCCTTGCGCTCGCGCAGCGCTTGGCGAGCGCGTGACCGCCGATCGTCTTTGGGTCGCAGGGAGTTTACCGTACGCGGGAAGCGTTTCAGCTGGGGAAAACAAGATATAGGTGACTATTTCCCATTTTCACCATCAAGAAAACAAATTTCCTGTTATGTTTTACCATAGGAGTCACTTAAAAAATAGGGATTGATGGTGAAAACGGGCATATGGGTTAAAGGGACAACAGTATAGCCTACTTTCAGACATCACTTAAATGCCTGAAACTGACAAGTTATTATAAATCAGCTAAAGTAATAATTACTCAAATAAGAACTCAAGTTCGCCTCGGGCAGAGTAGCTGGGAAACAAGCGACAAAATGGTTCGGTGCACGGCGAAATTTGCCTCACGAGTCGAGCCATGAGTTGAGGCAGAGTCTTCATTTGAGCAACCAAAGGTCGAGGCGGCCGCTCGACCCGAGGCTGCCTCTAATGGAAATCAGGCTTTGTACTAATTTTTGGTGCTCATTCTATTGCACTGTGCCATTAAATTATTATAGCTTTACAATCCACAATTAAACAGTTTTATTTAATTACTATCAACAGTGAGATGTGGAAGTCATTGGGGGAGGCCTATGTTCAGCAGTGGACGTCCTATGGCTGAGATGATGATGATGATGAGAACGGCTGTCTCTTCCCAAGCGACTAAATGTGGTTCGGTCCGCGGCGAAATTTACCTCACGAGTCGAGCCATGAGTTGAGGCAGCGTCTTCATTTGAGCAGCCGAAGGTCGAGGCGGCCGCTCGACCCGAGGCTGCCTCTAGTGGAGATCTGGCATTTATAGACTTATAGTGCTCATACTATCGCACAGTGCCATTAAACACGCACTCATAAACCTTAGTAAAACAAAATGTTTTCTAAACTGTTTCATCTAAATCTTACATAGGTAAATGCTGTTTGTTTTCCTTATTAGGGCCTAATATAATAGAGCTTGTTCTAAGTCTCAATGTTTAGCTACCACCATCTTATCTAAGTCTGTCACCACAACAATAATGTTAACAGCATTGTGTTCCAGCAGTTGAAGGTAAGACAGATAACCAGTTCCTCTGTGGTTGACGGTTCTGGGTTAGCTCGCTTCAACCTTCAGCCTGATCATCACTTTCCATCAGGTGAGACAGCCAAGAGTTTCCTTATTGTGGATAGAAAAAATACTAACGTATTCGTCGTCGGGCTCCTCGAAGCGGAAGTTGTAGGCGCGCTCGAAGCGGCTCTGCTCCTCCACCAGCTGCTCGTCGGCCTCCAGAGCCGCGTCGTCGCGCAGCTTGTCGCCCACTACGGCCGGATTTTCTTCACCCTCCTCCATGTACCTAGTGAGGAGAAATGGGTGAAATGCTAGTAGAATAGAATATAATAGAAAGTATTTATTTGTCTCAAAACAGGTTTCATTTACACACAAAAATCATAAGAGACAAAAAGGTCTATGACTCAGTGATTGTAGGAGACCCACAAACCCAGTTATTCTGCCGTAGCCAAGATATACATAAATAAATAAATATTAACGTAATTCTAACCCTAAAATACAAATACGTTTCCGATACAATACAACAAATTATGTGAATGTAGTAAGAATAAGCTTGACAAGAATAAAATACAAATCTAAAAAAACCTAAAATTACATTATTATAAGCAACTTGTAATAACTAAAGTGCTGGACACTTTAGTTAAACAGCAAAAATACATCTGTGAAAATTTTAATTGTTCAGCTATCATGGTTCATGAGATACAGCCTGGTGACAGAGTGACGGATAGTTGAGTCGTTGTAATAGGGTCCTGTTTTCACCGTTTGAGTATGGAACCCTAAAAATGGTAACTTGTCACTGCTGACCTCAATACAATATAGTGCATTTTACATTACCTCTTATTCAGTATAAAGTCCCTAAGGAAGGCTTCTCCCTCACTCAGTTTTGGGTCCGACCATAGTGCCTTTAGTGGTGCCAGGTCTTTTTCAACTTCATCATCAATGTGCTCAGCTTTGCCAGTCAAGTAATCTTTGATCTTTTCCCCCTGAAACATTAGTTAAAAAATTGTGTAACAACATACTGTGTCATAAAAAACCAAAAGTGTACCGGGCAAAGGCTTGTCTGTACTTATGAAACACAATTACTGGATAGAAATAAAACCGGTAGTTCTAACTACTGAACTATGTGTGCCATTGTATCCTATTAATAAAAATGATGTGAAAAAAGATTTTATAAAGAAAATTTTAATGTTTAAAACTAAGGCTACCTTTTTATTTTTCTTAGGGCCCTCGGAACTTTTTGTTGGAGCATCATCTATCTCAGCCTTCTTTTCGATTTTGAAAATATCACCTCCATCATCGTCATCATCACTGTCATCGAAAGTAAGTGTTTTAGGTTTGGGTTTTTCCTCTGAAAAAGTAATAAGTATTACAACCACAAGTATTATTTGACTACAGATAGAATTAATGAAATGGAAAGTAACAGATCATCAAATTTAAATCTTTGGGCTTCAGAAAATAGCCATACCCGGTTTTTTCTCCTCATCTACATCGAAACATTTAAAATTAGGGTCGTATATCCTCGGGTCCTTAGTCTTGAGCATCGCCAGGGTCTTGAGGAACTGCTCCTCAACCTCCTCGCTCATCTCAGGAGGCTCGTCGCTCTCGTCCTCGCTATCCGAGCCCGAGGCATCGGAGTTGAGGGCGTCGGGACCGTACTTTTGTTCCACTGAAAATGTTTGTTATTTTATGTTTAGGATTATTATAAGGATTAAGTACAGTTACTTCAGAATATTTAACGTTATATCTATACATGTTAGGCCAGTTATTTAATGATAAACATGGTATTTATGGAAAATTAAAACTTACACTTGTAAATCTCTTCTTTCTTCCTCCACGTGTCATATTTCTTAGCATACTCATTTTCAGTTTTAATTTCAATATCTTCATCTGAATCTTCATCAAATAATTTCTTTTTCGGCATTTTATTTAATTCACGTTTTCATCTCAAAATTAACCAAAAATCGCAAAACATGCGTGTCGTTCACAACAACATGTCACTGTCAAAGTCAATGTCAACTTTCCTATGTATTACTTTTCTCTATGATGTCAACATCAGCAAGCATAGTAAAAAAAATCAAAAACAAGAACATCCCAGAATGGAAATGGGGTGAATCATTGTTTTATAAGAACATCCCTATCCATTTGGACAGTTAGCGTTGTTAGGTTGGCAATCATAACCTCACTTTTTCACCGGACCAGTTTGTTGTTTGTTGTGTATTTCTGTCTATAACTTTTTAGAAAGAACAAATTAACTGCCTTTTGTAAATGCTGCTTGATACTGTTGCGTCCTACTAACGTTCAACATGACGACAAACCCGAGGAAAGGCACCGACCCGGTGCCAATGGAGGAAAGTGATCAACTTACGATCCGACCCCTGTAATGATTATTTTGTTATGATGGTTTTTCATAAATTTTGGTTTAATCTTGCGCAATATGATATTTATTATGTTCTGTTTATAGGGGCGCCGGGCAAGAAGTAGGCAGGTCTTGTATAATGCTAGAATTCAAGGGTAAAAAAATTATGGTAAGTTTTGTATTTTGTGACCCATTTCTTTACTTTTTCATGTTTATATGATGTTTAACATTAGTCTTTCAGTTACTCAATAATTTTGAGCAACATTTTCTTTTGCTTTAATGTGTTTTTTTCTTAACTTAGCTTTTTATATTTTCAGCTGGACTGTGGGATTCATCCTGGGTTGTCAGGCATGGATGCACTGCCTTTTGTGGATCTAATCGAAGCAGATGAGGTTGACCTGCTTCTAATATCACAGTAAGCTTATTCAATTATTTTTATTGAAACATTTGAATCAAACCCTATGGTCAAATTCTTTATTACCTATGATGATGGTCACTTGAAGATGCAACACATTATAGGCCCTCAAAATAAAATGTTTAGTTATGAGCTGATGAGGACAGCACATCAGTATATTTTATAAGTATATTTGTTCCAAAATTGCCCCTATTATTAGAACTAGGTTACCCTAAAATAATATTAATAGTACATCATTGTTCTCTAAAATAGTTTTTCAAAATGAGATAAATGGTGACAAAGTTGAGAAAAATTATCATAGGTAGCTTGGGATCATTGGACAAAATTCTACGTGCTCCGTAACCAGACTTTAATGAAAGATTAGGAAAACAACTCATCAAAGAAATGCTTTCGTTTCAGTTTTCACTTGGACCACAGTGGAGCTCTACCATGGTTTCTGACCAAGACCTCGTTCAAGGGCCGTGTGTTCATGACACATGCTACTAAAGCCATTTACCGGTGGCTTGTGTCCGATTACATCAAAGTCAGGTGAGTTTTGTTTGCCTCTTATGATATCAATATGAATTTTCTAAACAATTTGTTATTGATTAATTATCACTAAATTAATATTTCATAAAAGTCAGTAGTCTTAAAAAACCAAACCAAACAGTCTCAGCGCGGACCATTCCCTGCGAGTGTTAGAAACTTGAACACGAATGCACGAAGCATTGAAAATGGATGCGGCATTGTTGGCATTGGCACGGAAGAGAGAGACATGATTAAATTATTACATTTTTTAAAATATTTTATCAGTTTCTAAAATTTTGTTCTTGTAATTTTTTTTGTTTATTAAATTACTAGCTGACCCGGCGAACTTTGTTCCGCCTTAATGGCAATAAATAAGCAGACTTTTTTTTTAAATTTCGAACGGGATAAAAAGTATCCTATGTCCTTCTCCTGGCTCTAAACTACCTCCCTGACAATTTTCAGCTAAATCGGTTCAGCCGTTCTTGAGTTATAAGCGAAGTAACTATCACGACTTTCTTTTATATATATAGATTATTTTTTAATGAATTTATCTAAAAACTAAAATTATATGTTCGGCAGCAACATATCGACGGAGCAGATGCTATACACGGAGTCGGACTTGGAGGGCTCCATGGACCGCATCGAGACCATAAACTTCCACGAGGAGAAGGATGTGCGCGGCGTGCGCTTCTGGGCCTACAACGCGGGCCACGTGCTCGGCGCCGCCATGTTCATGATCGAGATCGCCGGCGTCAAGGTCAGTGCCCTCTGTACTGTAAGCGGGTACTCATCTAAAGCCTGGTCCGTGCGCACGTAGAATTTTGTCCAATGACCTCAAGCTACCCATCCTTATCGCTCGCGCGTAATTATATTGCTCGCGTATCGCGTATATCACGTAATTACGTTGCTGTCGCGTTTGCACACTCACTGCGGGCGCCCGTCGCACAGTCGCGACAGCAATAGCGTAGAGCGATAGCTTGGGGTCATTGGACAAAATTCTACGTGCTCAGGGACCAGGCTTTAGCCGTGTAGCATGTAATGTATCAGATACTGTAACAAGTGAGTACATAGGCACGAGCCCGCGCGTGGTTCGCAGGGAGATCGCAGCGACCCGCCGAGTGGCGGTATCACTGCGAGCACAAAGGCGGCTCGCAGTAGGATTCAGGAGCTCGCAGCCAGATACGCGATGACCGTGGACGAGCCGTACTCACTTGAAGGTTGGTTACGTTACATGCTACGTTATGTGCCACATGGCAGGTGAGTACCCTGCTGTAGGGGCCATGGATACAGGACTCGGTTACGGACTGTAGAAGTAGTGGCGATCACATTGGATTGATATCCAAAAGATAAGCCCAAAAGATAAGGAGACATGTAAAGTGCCCCATAAGGGCTACCTTTTCTTTTTTTATTATTTTCTATTGACGTTCATAAGTGCCACTTGTGGTCTAAACTGAATAAATATTTTTGATTTTGATTGATTTTGATCGGTCGCAGTGATAGGGACTCAATAGAACTGAAATGAAATAAAATAGTTTATTCACTTAGTGCACTTATACACGTCACAAATATAGCTTGCCCTACCATCACTTTGGGACAACATATGGGGTGATGCTGAGAAGAAGTCGGAAGACGGAAGAAACTCAGTCACCTTTGTCAGCTTCTTTTTCAAGTAGAAATCTAACGTGACTTTATTTAATTTCAGGTATTATACACGGGCGATTTTTCAAGGCAAGAGGACCGGCACTTGATGGCGGCCGAAATTCCAACAGTTCACCCTGACGTTCTTATCACGGTATGTTATTTTCCGACCGATTTAAGTAGGGTTTAAGTATAAACGTACGCGTTTAAGTAAATATATTTTGGGAATATGGAGTGTATTAGCGATAAATAAATAAATAAATAAAATAAATGTATGTGCTTGCACAGGAGTATGTACCATACGGCACGCATATCCACGAGAATCGAGAAGAGGGCGAGATACACGGGATTATGTAATTCTTGTTGGACTCTCATTCCATTTGCATAATAATAATAATAAGCCTTTATTACTGGATTACAAGGTATTTTACATTTACAATTTAGTTGCACTCATTTCCACTGGCCACAAATGGCAAGAAACAGAGAAGCATGGAGATCATTGGAGGAGGCCTATGTCCATTCCATTTGCATAGTTCATAATATTCTCGAAATAAGGAGTGTTTATAGCGATTTGTGTGCTTGATCGTATGAAATAGTCTTGATTTATGTGCTTTTGCAGGAGTCTACATACGGCACCCACATCCACGAGAAGCGGGAGGAACGCGAAAGCCGCTTCACGGGGCTGGTGAGCGAGATCGTGTCGCGCGGCGGCCGCTGCCTCATCCCTGTGTTCGCGCTCGGCCGGGCCCAGGAGCTGCTGCTCATCCTGGGTGAGCGATGCATGTGAGCCTTGTGCCGGCGCCATAGAGCCGCCGCCTCATCCCTGTGTTCGCGCTCGGCCNTAAAGTTAAAGTTCGTTTTAAATTAGTTTGCTGTTTCTTAAGTGTGTGTGAGTGTATTGGAGCGCTTTCCGCCACTACCTACCGCGACGGCGGGAGTATTTTCTACACAAAATTACCAGATTATTCACTTCCTACATTAAAAAGGAATGTCCTTTAAGTTTAGAGCTAGGTACTTACCGATGCGACTTCAGATGCGTTTCCACGTGCCCTCCCGTAACAGTAAACCATGTTTACGTATCTACTCACGAGCGCTGTACGTATGGTTGGTTAGGCATATTCCTAACACTCACTCACTATTACCACACTCACTATCACACGTTCACACACTAACTACTCAAAACCGCACAAGAAAACAATCAAAAATCGCAAATTTGCACTTAGAAAAGCACATTCGATGACCGAAGATCTTTGTTAACTAAAGATCCGTCCTATCATAATTAATGCTCTTATAGCAAGCTTCCAAAATACTCAAATGCAAATGATTTGTAGTAGCTCAATCGTTATTATTAAAACGATAAGAATATCAATACATTTTGATAGTTATTTCGTGTAAGTAATGAAATTAAGTTCATTTAAAATAATCACGAACATGATGATGAATTATTTTATGTAAGTTATGAAGAATGGAAGTTTAACCTGAACCTAACTAACAGCGCTCGGCCGGGCCCAGGAGCTGCTGCTCATCCTGGGTGAGCGATGCATGTGAGCCTTGTGCCGGCGCCATAGAGCCGCCGCCTCATCCCTGTGTTCGCGCTCGCCCGGCCCAGGAGCTGCTGCTCATCCTGGGTGAGCGATGCATGTGAGCCTTGTGCCGGCGCCATAGAGCCGCTCACGGGGCTGGTGAGCGAGATCGTGTTGTGTGTTATAATTCGGCCGCGTTCCCTTTAGACGTGATTAGTAAAGGTGGTATAACGCCAACCCTAAATGTCATATGTCACTTACACAAACATGTTACGCGTTCACCTGCACGAACATAAGGCGATTATCACACTGCACCGCGCTCCGCCGCGGTACGCGGTACGCGGGATGACAGATTTAATCATTGTATGCAAGTACCTCAGTTTGTATACAAAACACGCGCGGCACAACACACTGAAAACGCGTCTGCGCGCGGGATTCTTTATATGTAGCCACGCGGACCACGGCGGAGCGCGGTGCAGTGTGATAATCGTCTAAATGTCAATCTCAGGTATGTTACGCGTTCACCTGCACTAGCCTATGACTGTGTGCTTAGAACATGTTTTTTCATACAAATTGTTGCGAGTGTCCGAGGTATGCTTGTACTATCGACATAAAGTCCAAAATTCTTTGGTGTTTAATTTTCAGTTAAATCTTTGCATTTTACGCATTATAGAATAGTTAGTCGTGTTTTTAAAAGCTGTCCCATTGGAGTTGTTGATGTCACTGTTTTACCAACACACTGAAAACTAATTTACCTTTTAATACAAGAAAGATGTGCCCATGCGACAACACTAAAGTCTGGTCGCCGAGCACGTAGAATTTCGTCCAATGACCCCAAGCTATCTATCCTAACCCGTGCGTAAGGGGGCAGCAGTGAGTGTACGAGCGCGACAGCAATATAATTACGCGCGAGCGATAAGGATGGGTAGCTTGGGGTCACTGGACGAAATTCTACGTGCTCGGCGACCGGACTATAACATAAAGCATCCTCTCCTCGTTAATAACGTTATTTGAGTGGAATTGTGTGGAATTTGTGTGGAATCCCCAGTACCTAAAATACATTAACCTCTTAGAGGGCATTCAAGCAAAATTTGTGAGACGTCTGAAGTATAGGTTTAAAAATTTCAACTCGGAAAGGCTTCAATCATTGGCATGCCGCCGTGAACACAGAGATCAAATATTTTTATATAAGATCATAAATAATATGGTTGATAGTCCTTATTTATTAAGTAAATCAGCCTTTAAATGTATCAAGCCTCGAGTCAGACACAGGAACACTTTTAGTATACCCATTTGTAGATCAAATTATCGTAAAAATAGTTTCAGCATTAGAGCTGCTAACAAATATAATGCAGCATTTTGTCATTTAGACATCTTTCATGAACGCATTGTGAAGTTTCGCCGTCTTGAAGGAGACGATCTACTTGATCTTTAGCGTATCCATGTTATTGTGTTTAACCTTTTTTTTAATGTTAATGTTAATTTTTTATAATGTTTTAAATGTTAATATTTTCTTTTGCATGCATAAATTATGCTTCACATCTGTCTCCTTTTCAACTTTGACTGTACAACCTAGCTTTAGAAACTTTAAAGGCCAATGTATAACCTACTTAATTTTAAGCGGCATGTGTCAAACGGCTGTATGTTTCTTTAATAAAGATAAATAAAAAAATAAAATAAAAAAAATCTATTTATACCAGACGAGTACTGGTCACTGCATCCTGAGCTGCAAGACATCCCGATCTACTACGCGTCGTCGCTGGCCAAGAAGTGCATGGCGGTGTACCAGACGTACGTCAACGCCATGAACGACCGCATCCGCCGTCAGATCGCCGTCAACAACCCCTTCGTGTTCCGACACATTTCCAACCTCAAGGTATGTTGTTGACTAGCTTTGGGTCTCCGCTTAGGGTTGCCAGGTCCAAAAACACAAAAGTCGGACTCTGTGCTTCATTGGCAGGATATTTTACCCTAAAAGCCGGACATTATGTATCATTTTTGGATGAACATTATTTTGTGGCTCGATCGACTGGCGCGGCAGCCACATAAAAAGCCTAACAAAATCAAAGATAAGACAACACTTGGCCGGAAAAGTCCCTAAAAAGCCAAACATGACACCTGGTAACCCTATCTCCGCTTAAACTTACATGAACGCTGGCACGCGTGTTTGTATCGAAAAATAGTATGAGCAGCGCATGCGTGTGACGGATTTTCATAATAGGTGTAAGTTTTAACGTAGAATCGCGGTTTCGCACGCTTAACTCATTCCGCGGATCAACCGGAAAACCAAGAAAACGTTATTACTAAAACCATAGAGTAGAAAAAAAAACTTATTATTTTGCTCGTTTGATGCACCGCAAGCAGTCTCCTAATGTCGATACAGAACTTTATTTAATTAAAAATAGAGCGTTCTCTAATAAATTAAAACACCATACTACAATTAAGTTATATTTATAATTATTTAAAGTTTTAGTTTAAATGCTTAAAGATTATCACGCCACATTGATCTGAGACTGGTCAGCTTAGCCGGTAATAGCATTCTCCTCGCCGATCGCAAACACGTCGATCTCGGGCTTGACCTTATCGTACAAGTGCGGAAACGCGCCTTCAGCCTTGTACTTCTTCCTAACCACCTCGTAAAGAGTCAGGTCGAACATCTCCTCGAATTCCTTCCGCGTCATGAAAATATCAGCATACAAGAACGAAAATCCGCCCACGTCTCTTGTAAACTTCTCCATTTTCCTCATAGCATCCACCGGGTTGTAAGGCTTCTTCTCCTTGACTTTCCCCGGCACGCCGTAAACGCCCAAGTCATTATACATCGCGTAGTTAGTCCCGGGCACCATGTATTTGGGATCCGGCCGCTTGAGCTGGCCCGACGATGGACCGTGGTCCACCACTTTACACGGATACACTAGCAGAGGGAATTTCTCGAAGAGAACGCTCGCTATTTCAACCTGCTTTTCCAATTCCTTGATCGGTAAAACTATGTCCTGGAATACTTGTTTCGTGAACGTGTAAGCGCGAACTCCGGGGGTGGTTGTAAACTTTAAAAACGCGGGTTTCGGGGGCAACAGCCAGCCGAAGAAAAATCTAAACAACGGGTTGTTTCCAAACGACAACATGTCCTCGACGACCCAGAATATGGCCCGGTTGTGTCGTAACAAGTAGTCCTTCATGGGAATCAGCTCGACGCCCTCCCCTTTGGTCAGGAAAGTCTCGACGTGTTTATAGAACCAGGGCTTGTACCACTTCGAGCATTCATTCACCGTGATTTTTCTGTCGTAATCGGAGTACTCGCCGACCATAACTACGGCCTCGTCCTTGCTGAATATGGTTCCCTCGATATAGTCAGGAAAGTCTGCAGGGATCGCCTCGTACGTGCCCGATAATTGCCTCATCATATCGCAGTATTTCTTCTGTCCACGGACTGGGATGTATTTGATTTTGAGATAGGGTTTTATTTTGACGATCTTGAGGGTCAAAGCGACGAGGAAGCCCAGGCTGCCGTGGCTCCAGGGCAGCGCTTTGTAGAGGTCGGCGTGCTCGTTGTGGGCGGTGGCGGTGACGAGGGAACCGTCACCAAGCACTATTTCGTAGCTCGTGATGGTTTCATGGTAGAGCCCCACTTTGTGCGAGTGCGTCGACATTCCCGTGCCCATTGCGAGACCTGTGGATTACGAGAAAATTACTTTTCTGTGAGTTACTGTTAAAAAAACTGGGGATTCCTGTTCTATATGATTATTAAGATTGCAAAGCCATAGCCTTTGTGTTGGACTTCATAAGCCGCCATAGGCATCTGAACTCTGAAGGATATTTTATAACGAATCGGTCATTTTCGGCTAAGAATGACCTAACCAAATCTAGAAATTCTGCGTTTCTAAAGCAGATCGCCATTGCCGGCAAGATCATAGGCCAATGACAGGTCGCTTGCCAGGCCAATGACACGTTGGTGTGTTTGAAGCTCAACAAAAGACGCTTGTATCAAGCATTACCTCCCAAAGTAGCGTCGACCAGCTCGATGGTGACGGCAAGCGAGTAGCCCCTCGGTATCAGATAGTCGGCCACATCGCCCACGGTGGCCATAGGTTCCACGCGCACGGTCATTGCCTCTTCATCCAGCTGCAATATGTCGTGCAAGGCCACCGGTACGCGGTGGTGGAGATGCTTCTGGAAGAAGGTTGTGGAGAGAGACTGCCAGTTGGGGCGCGAGGTGCACAGGAGGCGTCGCTCTGAAGCGGGCAGCTTGTTCCATTTTTGGACCTGGAAACATGGTCAGAATAGACTTAGGTTGATGTGTCCAAATATGTATATTACAAACATTTGCTCTTAGCGGTATTTACACAATATAAAAAGCTTGCTACTACTACTGGCCTTATCAAATCATGCACCAATCACCAGACCTTACCCGGCGAATTTTGTACCGCCTATATTTATCAGAAACAACGAATTTTAATTGCGAAAAATTTTTTCAAATCGGTCCTGTATGTACTTTTGAAGGCTATTGAATACAAACAAAAATCTTTCCTCGTTATAATATTAATAGTGACAAGGTTATAAAATATAGTTTCAACTCATTTTATCGCTACCATTGGCCCCTGGCAAATGCCTGTGCCTCATAATCCCATCTCTACTTCAAAAACAAATGAAATCTTACTCTAGCTTGTATATCCTTGACGGCACTGTCATGTCGCTGCGGATCGCTGGTCAGGCGCCTAATGAAGGCCTTCAGCCGCAGCATCACAGTGAAGAGGAAACTGGCGGGCAGGCAGAAGAACGCCACCACAAACTCGCGGTGGTCCTCCAGCCATAGCACCAGCCGTTGCTTCGCTGATGCCGGCAGCAGCGACCAAATGATGGCCGTTAACGCTGTTATTATCATGGCTGGAATTAATAATTGACGTCTTAGTATTCCAAAAATTGTATGTTGCTTCAAACTTTTGTACACATAGGTTAGGTTAGTATTTGAGGATAGCCTAGCTACTAAGCCAATTAACATTCGTAGATAAACCTCTAAATACCGGCAAAATGTCTCTTAAATTATATTTTTTGTAAATAAACAAACCTAAATTTTATGCTGACAAAATAACTTTTTATTTTCCTATACTGAAGTACAAATCGATATTTTAAATACTTGTTCATTTTAATAATATTTAGCTAAATTATTTACCTGAACGACACGATAGGACCGTAGCTCCAAACGGCGTGTTTAATCCATCGAATGTGTAAAGATAAAATAATTAAAATGTAAGTGTTAACGTCCACTATCTTATCAAAGCGCACTATCAATTGTAATTATAGAAATAACACAATTAAACAACGTTGTAAACAAAAGGTGATCGGTCGCGAAACTTTGTAATCTAGTAGACGTGAGTAGTGTTGCCAGTATAGTAGTCTAAATTTTGTACATAATTTACAGCTACAATTGAAAATATCAATAGACAACCGGAAAAATTATTAGTAAATTAAAACACACTATGTTGCACGAATGCACACCAGTGTAAGCATAGCGAATCTTATATTGTTGTAAAAGATGCTATTTTGAAAATTAAGTGATTCTCTGACGTGCTTGCTACGTATTATACGTGCATGTGTGATGATACAAAGTTCGCAAGCCTAGGTAGAGCTTGAAACATATTAAGTATTTTTTAAATTGAGAATGTTACTAGGTATGCAAAATCACTTGAAACCTATGTTACAGTTAAGCTTTTACATTTACAAATACATTAGTTTTTATTTCATTCAAAAATACCCAGTAGTTATGATTTTATAGGCATTCAAAGTTCGCTTAAATATTGAGTCCCGCCGACGGTCACGTGACCCCGTGTGACGTACATTCACAGCGTCCGCTCACTAGAAAACGGATATAAACATCTTAATTTTTTTTTTTTTGTAAATACAAACTTATTATACATATTAACACCCAGACCCATCACAGAAATTAAAATTGAACCAAACCCAAACTTGACGCGATTGTGTCGTTTTATTGCGAATTACCTTCCAGCTCCATCATTAGACCCCGATTACTNTCCCTAAATATGGCGGGTATTGAAATCAACACCCTGTATAGAATTAAAATACTCATCAATACGAAACGAACGAGCCCAAACTCGATGCATTTAAGTCGTTTTATTATAGAGTTCCTATGGCCACCTTCCAGCTCCATCATCAGATCAGCTCCATGTCATCATAATATTGCATGGTCATCCAAATCACATGTGTTTGCGAAATTTCAGCTTAATCCGTTGCCTGGAAGTGGGTCTTAATTCAGTTTACAAGATTCCACCCATACAAATATGAGCCAGTCGTTGTAATATGACGTCACGCGCATAAAATGGCGGGCCGGCCGCCGCCCGCACTTTTAAAATTCAATATCTTGGAAACTAATTGACGTATCGAAATAATTCTTTCACGTGTATTTTTTATTTTTAACAGAGAATACAGAAAGCTAAAAAACAAAATCAGTGAACATTCTTCATTCTGTTATGAAAAATTCAGAATTTGCTATATACTGTTACAAGAAAAACCACTTTATCCCCAGAGCGAACCAACAATGTAACAGATATCGTACATTTTACAGACACTAAACACAGCCCAATTGACTTAACCTTGGTGCTATTGAATTAATTTTTTAGACAGTCATATTTCATAACGACGTCGTTATTCGATTTTGAACTCTATCATCACAGCATAAAGATGTCCAAAAGTTATTGATAGTCCAATCTTATCAAACACGTGTCTCTCTAAGCGGGAGTCAGACGAATTTAAATGTGATTAAGATGAAACATACTTATCGAAGTCGTGATTTCTAAATGGAGTTACCTAGCTAAAGAAATAAAATAAATATTTAATCTAGGGAAATAATAAACTATCTATGTTCAGTATTTTACAATAGTAATCCTAGTTATGTACACGTCTCGATAGATAGAGCGATCTCTATCTATCGGATATAAAGAAAAGCCTCGGCATTGTCCGCGTTGATTTTTCTTTGTTATTCTGTCGCCAACTAGCTTATTGCCATCTACTGCAATATCTGAACACGAGCAGAATAATTCTAGCCCTGAAAACCCAATTAGTTTTAAGCTAACCGTTATATGTGATTTTAGAATCTTTGAGATCAATAAATGGTAAATCAATCGAGCTGTCGAATTACATGGTTGTAGTCATCAATAGGGGCTCCACGTTTTTTGGCTCAAAAAGCGCAGGGAGCGTGCTACTTGTAACGACTGATGCCTACGTGGTGTACGGAATTAATCACACCTCTCTTTCCCACCAATGCAACTTCTGTGTAGGTCAAATCAATACAAAATTTATTTATTTGGTAATAATAGCACACAGCACAATAACCATAAGTGTTCATAAGTGTTTTGCTTCTATTGCAGGGCATCGACCACTTCGAGGACATCGGGCCGTGCGTGATCATGGCGTCGCCGGGCATGATGCAGTCGGGGCTGTCGCGCGAGCTCTTCGAGTCCTGGTGCACAGACCCCAAGAACGGCGTCATCATCGCCGGTGAGTATCTGTCATTTCATCCCCAATGGATTCTCATTCCCCATTTGTTGTCCCGAAGCAATGGTAGGATAATATAAAAGACGTGTTGACAACACTAATCAATTGACGTACGCGTACTTTATAAAATTGACAAAACGAGACTCTCACATAGATTTTGTATGGCAATACAAGCAAGTGACGTCATTATTTTGTCAACTCAATTAATCTACTTTTTTCAACAATGCAACCAAAAATCTTAATTTACAGATAATTTAAAATTAATTAAGTTTTTAAGACCAGAATAAAGTGTATTTTTAAAAAGTTGTGATTTCGAATTATTGGTAGGTAATTGGTCAAATAGTCTATACTGGGACGTGTGAAAGAAATTTTCAAAAGCCTTACAAAATAAATGAATTTGCATCCCCATTGGCCAGTGGGTTATGTCTTTAAATAGACTTCGGACGCAGGTTGGCCGTAGTAGGGACAATCTGGCCAGGTGGGGATTCTTGGATGGCTTGAACATGGAGTGCAGGTGCGGTTTTGTTCCCCAGTCGATGAGGCATCTGATGTCATGCCCTGAGTGCCCAAGCAACTGCACTCAGGAGGATTTGATGAGTGCTACTGACAACGCCACTCTTGTGGCGGAGTTTTGGGCTGACACTGTGTAGGTTTGTTGTCGACACGAAAAAAAGAAGAAGTGGGTTATGTGGGACGCGCTCCGCCAAAAGGGCGTGGCTACACGCTACCCACATTACCTGACGGTGGAAAATGAAAAAGAGACGCCATGGCAGTTATTGTCCTAACTTGGACATTCGTCCGCGACTCTGTCTCAGTCTATGACTTCGCTCGAGACCTAATCTTCTTCTCCGACTAATTTTTTGTCGGCCGTTTGGTGTAGTGGTTCAGAACGGACTATTATGCCGAGAGGTCCCGGGTTCGATTCCCGGCCGGGCAGAAATTGAAATGATGAATTTTAATTTCTGTGACGGGTCTGGGTGTGACTATGTATAATATTTATGTATTTATAAAAAAAAAGTATATAAGTAGTATATCCGTTAAGCTAGCACCCATAACACAAGCATTAAGTTGCTTACTTTGGGGCTAGCTGGCGCTGTGTGAAATTGTCCAAAGATTTGTTAATTTTTTTTTATTTTTTTTTAATTTATGCTGTTTACATCAGAGCCTTGTTCCTTAGCAAGAACCTTTCTCATCTTGGTTTCATCACTATCCACCACCAGCTACAGGATAAACAAACGACTGTGTCCCCCAGGGTACTGCGTGGAAGGCACGCTGGCCAAGACGATCCTGTCGGAGCCGGAGGAGATCACGTCGATGTCGGGCCAGAAGCTGCCGCTCAAGATGTCGGTGGACTACATTTCCTTCTCGGCGCACACGGACTACCAGCAGACTTCGGAGTTTATCAACATCCTCAAGCCGCCGCACGTGGTAAGTATACAATTATTTTAGCATAGTCTTGCATATCTAAATAGAATATCGTTCGTTTCAGCCGAAAGACGTCCAGTACTGGACAAAGGCCTCCCCCAAGGTTTTCCACAATGAACAGTCCTGCGCTGCCCGCATCCAGGCTCCTCCCGCGACCTTCACCAGATCGTCGGTCCACCTAGTAGGAGGCCTGCCCACGCTACGTCTTCCAGCCCGTGGTCGCCACTCGAGAACTTTTCTCAACGAACTACGTGCCCCGCCCACTGCTGCACTGCCACTTGATTTTAGCAATTCTGCAAGCTATGTCGGTCAATTTGGTTCTCCTGTGGATATAATATTTTTTATTAAAATAACAAATAAGTAGTAAACATATAAGTATCGTAGTTTATTATGTAACCTATTATTGGTACCGTTGGATAGAGCTCGTGAAGCACTTTCAGGATCAGTAACCAGTTCTTCGATATCTTGTATAGTTTAGAAACAATCGAATGAGATCACTTATCGTTTCCGCCCTGTATAATTTTATGCTAAGGTAGAATCTAGGCAAGGTCATAGTCAAGGCGCAACGGATCGTAGAATGCAAAATAGACCCGTTTATATCAATCCCGAAAATACCGGGATTAGCCAAGTACAGTCCCGGGATTTTCAGGATCAGAAAAGGGTCGGGATCGCGGGATCCCGACCCTTTTCTGTTTGTATTCTCTAGCCACACTCTAGTTGATTTCGCACGGAAAATATTCGCTAAAAATTCCACTTTCGTTTGTAATATTTTTTTTGGTGGATAATGAGTTTATGTAACTCATTATATAATATAATAACACTTAATATTGAACAGAACTATGTAATTAATTATAAGGTTTAATAATTGTATACATCTATTGAAGAGCGGACCCTCCAAACACAGGCATTTTTTGCTTAAATGGAGGCTCCAATCTACTTATAAACTAAAGAAACCTTGTAAACGAAATAAAATTATTTTATTTTTTTTATTTATTTTTATGTAAGTCATAATAGATCACCAAAATAAATACGGCGAGGATTGAAATCAACAGCCTGTATAAGTCGCCGCTCTGCCCAGGTGTTGGTCCACGGCGAGCAGAACGAGATGTCGCGGCTTAAAGCGGCGCTGCAGCGCGAGCAGCGCGGCCGGCTCGCCATACACACGCCGCGCAACACGCAGCAGCTGGCGCTCACCTTCCGCGGCGACAAGACCGCCAAGGTACCTACTGTTAGGGTCCTAACTAGGCATGGAACATTTCATGAATAGCAGGTGAAAAATCATATGAAATTAATTTCATTAATCACACCTGCTATTTTACTTCACATAGACTGCTATAATTTCACAGTCAACGAAATCACGAATCACATGAATTTCATTCATTCATTCGAGCGAAGTCCGTGCGCGCAGCTCTGCGAAGCGACCGAGCGAGTAAGAAGGAATGATTTGATCATTTGCGTGTTAGAAAAGGACAAGAGATGTGATGATGGACGAAACTGGGCATTTTAAATATGAACTTTAAACTCAAAGGTGTAAGGTTTAGATTTCCTTGTCATGATTCGTATGATTTCATTATGAGGCAGGCAGATGAAATGAATGATTTTTCACTAGTCGCGCGGTTATTGATTGTTGCATTCATAGGTACTGTGCTGTGAAACTTGTTGTTTTTTGTTGCGCGACATAAAATGAAACAGATATTGTTACATTTCATATTTTAGCTAATTAGCAATCGTTCATCATAATTCATACTTCATTAAAAGTAGCACATTATATGAAAGAGCTACATTAAAACACTGCGAATAAAAATCATTGCCTGTGAAATTTCGCATGTGAAATCGTATGAAAAAAGATCATCATTTCATAAAATGAAAATGAATGAAAAATAGCAATAATTTACATGCCTAGTCCTAACGAACATTAGTCAATTAAATTAAATAGCGGACTGTATAAAAATAGGTGCTGTAATTCTCGCCAGCCTAATTACAAGTAATTGGGGGTCCCGTACGTAGTGGCGATGGTCGATTTAGCGAAGTACGTTTTAGCGAAAAACACTCATGGTGCGCTGGAGCGAAAGACTACTGAAGCGAAACACGCGCGGCCGTGGCCATATAAGAAGCTAGAACACGCAGCGCGCACGTAGACAAAGCGCGCGACAAAACGAACTGTCGCACCGCGAGTCCATATCTGGCAGGGTAGAGAGAGTATACAGGATGGAATTTTGTAATGCCACCTGGAGGGAAAGTACTCTTAATACTGTGGATAGAAAATTTTACTGAAAGAAAACATTCCTTTATTTTTGAAAAGAAAGAGAACTGCATTCAAAGATTTTAGATTTTTTTTTCGAAAATTCACTACCATACCATACAATTTTCTGTACATAATTAAAATGATTTAAGATTTCATGGTTTTCCTTTCATTTGATTTATCAAGTTTGTTAGAGAGATTTCATCCTTATACCTAACCCTAACGATCGATGTAATAAAAATACAGGGTGTAATTTTTAACAGATTTTAGTTGGTTCAATTCCCGGGTGTGGCAAGCAAATTGTTGGAAATCTTTGAATGCAGTTCTATTTCTTTTCAAAAATAAAGGAATGTTTTTTTTTGAGAAAATTTTTCTATCTACAATATTAAAAGTACTTTCCCTCCAGGTGGCATTACAAAATTCCACCCTGTATGCGAGAAAAGAGATGTCGCGAAAACCATGCAGCTTATTAGTCGTAGGTCATGTCATATAGTTTGGGAGGCACTGTCTAATATGTGGATATCTGTTTCTCAAAATACGTACGTATTGGCATTTGGCGATGTTACTAGTATTATTTGTTCTAACCGTTTCATTATCGTCATCATCATTTCAGCCACTGGACGTCCACCGCTGAACATAGGCCTCCTCCAAAGATACCGTTTGCCTTCTGATTAATTTCGTTGCGGGTCCAATGACAGTTTAACTTTCCCCCGGGACAAACTTGACCTTCATTGGTTGGGTTTTTGTGGCGGTCAAGCTGTAGATCCTGGTTACACAGGAGTTGCAGCGGTGGGAGCGAGAGGTGGGAATAGTCCCGTTAACCGTTTGCTTTGTGCGCGGTGGCAGGTGATGGGGTCGCTGGCCGTGGAGCCGCCGGAGCCGGGCCGCCAGCTGCAGGGCGTGCTCGTCAAGAGGAACTTCAACTACCACATCCTGGCACCTTCGGATCTCAACAGTGAGTGCTTGTTATTTGCTGCTTGCTTTATAAGCGTGGCAAGTGGATATTATTATTTTGTTACTAGCTTTCCGCCCGCGGCTTCGCCCGCGTGGAATTTTGTCTGTCACAGAAAAACTTTATCGCGCGCGTCCCTGTTTCAAAAACCGGGATAAAAACTATCATATGTTCTTTCCCGGGACTCAAACTATCTCTATGCCAAATTTCATCAAAATCGGTTGCGAGGTTTAAGCGGGAAAGCGTAACAGACAGACAGACAGACAGAGTTACTTTCGCATTTATAATATTAGTTGGGATATGTTAATCTGGGTCACAAATAATACTACTGTAAAGTTTCAACAAAATCCTTTCAGTAGTTTTTGCGTGAAAGAGTAACAAACATCCAGACATCCAAACTTTCGCATTTATAATATTAAGTAGGATTGTAATAGTGTATGACGCATTATAGGTAAGTAGGTATTTCTAAGCCATCTAGAACCCAAAATTGTGTAGAATATTGCTCTATGGTTCAGTGGTAAGGCCTTGTTCAGACTCGCGGTAACCGAGCGCTGTTTGTGGGTGGTTCTCATCGGCAAGGCGGTAACCGTGCGGTTACAGTTCGATGCCAACTGTCTAAGAACTGCCTGCAACCGCGCGGATTCCGCTGTCTGAACTAGATCTAAGAGAGTTTGAGACTCTTGCGTCCCGCGCACAGATTGACGCGGACCGGCCGCGAGGAGACACACTTTTTGCTGTCAAATAAAGTTTTTTTGTTTCTTTTCCGCCCGGGGAAGCGTGGCGAACTGCACGGTGACGCTAACCTGCGCTTGCCCGTTATCTGCCGCCGCGCGTACGGAGAGCGTGTTAATCACTTTCGTGCGTTTCAGCTAAATGACATCCACCTCTGGACAAAAGGCCTCCCCCAAGGTTTTCCACGATGAACGACCCTGCGCTGCCCCCATCCAGGCTCTTCCCGCGACCTTTACCAGATCGTGGGTCCACCTAGTAGGAGGCCTGTCCACACTACGTCTTCCAGCCCGTGGTCGCCACTCGAGAACTTTCCTGCCCCAACGGCCATCGTCTCTACGAGCTATGTGCCCAGCCCACCGCCACTTGATTTTAGCGATTGTGCGAGCTTTGTCGGTCACTTTGGTTCTCCTGCGGATCTCCTCATTTCTGATTCGATCACGCAGGGAAACTCCGAGCATAGCCCGCTCCATCGCTCTTTGGGTGACCTTGAGCCTTCTTATGAGGCCCACAGTTTTTTTTTCCTTTTCTAATCTGCTACTTGGCAATCTGTTTCCGCGAAACAATAATCCAATTATCTGTCTGATTCCAATCCGGTTCTTGAGGCGTTCAGTAAGAGACTAGTCCAGTGAGTCATCTCTTATTCTTTCACTGCGAATCTTTTCGCTAGGTTTTGAATGCTATGTCTCTTCAGTCTATAAAAGTGGAGACTGCCAGTTCCTTGCAGTTGAGAGGCGAGTTCGTTTCTGTGACTATCCAGTCTCAGTTGGTAACTTTTACTGTACTTTTCAATTTGCTGTTTCACTGTATCCAGCTTGATATCCACGTACATAATCTTGTTACTGACATAGGGAGGCCCACAGTAATCACTTTAAGCAGTCACAAATAGCGCTAACTTTTCCATCGATCGTTCCAGAATACACGGAGCTGACGCAATCCGAAGTGACGCAGCGGCAGTCGATCCCGTACAGCGGCTCGCCGGCGCTGCTGAGGCACGTGGTCATGCAACTGTGCGGGCACATCGAGTTCCTCGGCGAGGCGCGCTGGCGCGTGTACGGCTGCATCCTGCTCACGCTCGAACCCAATATGATCCTGCTGGAGGTAGGATAGGAAAGAAAGAAAGAAAAATTATTTATTTGACAACTTAAAAAAGGGCAATATAAAAATACAATTATAAAAAAAAAAGTACAAAGACAATGAAGAGAAAAGAGAAAAAGAAATGTTGCCAAACAGGTTACCCACTCAGTATCATCTTAATAGTTGACATTTTACTGCCAAGTGCCAAGACACTGGTTTTCAGTGGGTACCTTGTACGCAGGGGCAAAAAGAATGTAATAAATTAAAAAACAATATATTATTATAAACTCAAATCAATTAAAATTCACATACACGGATAGGGACACAGTCGAACATGCATCCTTCGTCGTCCCACCCATAGCGGTTCACGAGAACACGGAGGTATTAGGTGGCTTAGCATATGGAGCCGATTCCCATCGATCCCTCATGATCAGAAGTCACGATAGCCGAATGGTGAAGGAGTCCGACTGGCCGACTCGTGATCTGGGGAACGCGAGTTCGGTACCTCTAGCATGAACAACTTTCGTCTTCGAATCGTTTATGTATTCGACAAAATTCGATACTCAACCTTCGATTTAAACAATAACGTGACAATTTTGATTCTCAAAATAAGTTTCGTGCAACTATTACTCATACTAAGTTCACTTTACGACACGTTCAGAAGGGTGTTGTTGTAATTTTCGTACCTACTAAATCTTTTGATGGCGATTCACGAAAGTTTTTCATGCTAGCCGTACAGTTCTCGCCGCCGCTTGACTATTGTGGTGAACTCACTCGTGACACTAGCATATTTAGCTTAGTATGAGAGGCTAATCTTCAAAAAAGCGTGTACCATAAAAAAGGGCTTGAAGCAAATAGTCGGGGACTTAGTTTAGCATTTAAAGCGTCGGGCTAATGTCAGTTATTTCATCAAAAAATCGACTTTTTTCTGTAATTTGTAAAAAGTGTTCAGTCGATTTGATAAGATAAGATTACTTTATTCAGCATATTATAAAGAACATTTGTAGCTGAATGAGCCGAGATGCGTTCGTTGGCATCTAACAAGAAGCTGTTCTGTTGTTAGATGCCAACGAACGCATCTCAGTTTCCACCAAGGCGGAAGATCAGAAGAAGGACGGTTTATTGAATGATGTTTTCCTCCGCAGTGGCAGGCGCAGCCGGTGACGGACATGTATGCGGACGCGCTGGTGGCGGCGGCGCTGGCGGCCAGCGCGGCGCCCCAAGTCAGCCACCTGCCGCTCGCGCCCAAGCTCGACCGCATGCACTTCAAGGTAGCCTTCGTTCGTTCGTATCAGCCAAATGACACAAAATATAACAGAAGGTAAACTCATGTATGTACCTCGCTTTGCATACCTCGCTCGCTCGCACGCTCGGCCGTCGCGCTAGGGTTGTCTTGTCATGTGTTGCGTTTATTTCGTTATGATAGTAATTAATAGTTTGCAAACAAATACACGAGAAGGAAGTAGTATGTAGTTGAGTGGTTGACACTATTATCCAATAATTCCTAAAACCTCTTTAAAACAATTCGATATTCCTAATAATTGAGTTGGATTTCAATTTATCAACGTTAAATGAACTATTGAAATACAAAGCAGTGCCCCCAGAAAGTCGAGCGCGAAGCAAACACTGCCGTACCATCCTTTACCGGAACCATTTCGCCGCATTTTCAGGCCCCTATTTGAGAACCTCTGGATAAGACCAGAACGCAGAAATTTTCGTCATTTAGTAAGCTATAATCACATGCTTAAAATCCAAAATTTCAAGTCTGTAGCTCATTTAGTTCCGAAGTTAAGCGAAAGCAAAGTTTCGCATTTATGACACTCACTCACTGATGATCATCAAAATAGAACTAGTACTTCCCATAAACTCAAAGAGCTGAAATTTGGTACAGAGTTAAGGTTTAATGGCCACATAAAGGGAAAACTATATAAACTAGGAAAATCGAAGATCTGGAGTAACACCACATTCATAATCAATACTACTAGCGCCACACCGGCACCGTGGTGTTCGCCTGTACTGCTCACCGCTAGATGGTTAGGTAGACGACGTTAAATAATTATGCCACTTTCTACAAAAAGAAGTGAAATCCCACCAAAAACATTTCTGTAAAAAACTAGCCAAGTCTCGATGGAGCTGCTTGTTTATCTCTAAAAAGTAATGAAATCTAGACAAAGTCGTGCCAAGTCTATGGTTCCTTACTGCGATATCTTTATTATTATAGTTAATTTTGTGTGACTTGGCCGTTGAATAATCTTTATTAAGATAATCATACATAAGTATTATTATGGTTATTGAATCAACGTTTTCCAAGTGCCAATTTTCAATTTCAATTTTCGTCAATGGGTGGCGGTTCTGGCGACAGATTGGTGCAATGGTGTCATGGAGCACCTGGTTTTGTACCCTTCAACGGCCAAGTCACACAACATTATTGTCTATTAGACACATACATGGCAGATAATGTATCATCCTAGACTGCATCCCACTTAACATCAGGTGCGATTGTGGTGAAATACCTGCCTTGTTATGCATAAAAAAATACCGCTTCTGATTTATAAGAAGATTAGCGGCCGCCCATACTTCGTACGCATGGATCCCGTTTTACCCCCTTAGGGGTGGAGTTTCGTAAAATCCTTTCTTAGCGGATTCTTACGTCATAACATCTGCCTGCATGCCAAATTTCAGCTCGATCCGTCCAGTGGTTTGGGCTGTGCGTTGATATATCACTATGTCAGTCAGTCAGTGAGTCAGGGACTGGAATTCGCTGCCTGCTGCTGTATTTCCAGAACACTATAAATCCGGGCGTTTTCAAGGCGAGTGTGAATAGGCACTTATAGGGCAGATATGTGCCATCCTAGACTCCATCTCACTTAACACGAGGTGCGATTGCGGTCAAATATCTGCCTTGTCTAGCATAAAAAAAACCTTTGATTTAGATGATTAAATGAACTTGAAGCAAATGCCTTCGAAAGACTAAATTTTTGTCCCTAAATTTTTTTTTATGCATTACAAGGCAGGTATTTGACCACAATCGCACCTGATGTTAAGTGGGATGCAGTCTAGGATGGTACATATCTGATAAATGATTTTTTGGACAAATTGGATGAACCAACACGGACTAGACAGTATCTGGGGGCACGGCAGTGCCCCCACCAAGTCGAGCAAAATAGCGGCACGGCCGTACCATCCTTTTCTCGAAGCAATTCAGGCCATTTTCGACCGCCTGTAACTTCGTTGTGGATAAAACTAGAAGGCTGAATTTTCATTAGCTATGCAGGCATTGTAAAGACACGGTATATTTAAAATTTCATTCAATTTGAACCAGTAGTTTAAGAATTATAACGGGTCAAAGTTACTTAATTTTGTCACTATTGACTTGGCCATCGCACTAAATAATTTAATTTACACGTGTTTTCATGCGATGGCCAAGTCAAAATATTTATGTAAAACGTTAAAGATTTCCTGGCCTGGACTTGGTATTACATGGATCTCACAACTTTTTACCGTAGAACAACTGAGTTGCGAGACTTGGTTTTTTTGACAAGTATTGTTTTTGATGGGATGTTCGTTTTCTCGAAACTATTTCTTTCTCTTTAGGAGTGCGTGATCGAGATGCTGCAAGAAATGTTTGGGGAAGACTCCGTGCCCAAGATGTTCAAGGGCGACAAGCTCTACGTCGAAGTGCATGGCCGCCGCGCCGACATCGACCTGCTCAACTTGGTCAGTGCTCAGCATACTATAGATAGTTTTATTATTGCTATCGATATTGGATTATCTTTTGACAACACTAATATATTTTGTTATAATTAATATTTTAAACAACAACAGTCTGAAGTAAATACATTAAGGCTGAGTTGCACCACCAAACTTTGACCGTAAATTTAACGATAACCGGTGATTTTAATGTTAAAGTAAGATGGAGCAACTCAGTCTAAGAATTAAATCTTTAGAATATTTTGGTATCAGTGGATTTATTTTATGATTAACAAGATATTTTCTGCGTTTATAATGTCAAGCATGACTGATGTGGTTTTGCTTTTATGATACAATAATAAGATTTTACACTTGGAAAATTTCGACATCCTTTTACTAACAAAAAGTTACACGCTTGTTGAACATTTCGCAGAGCGGAGTGGAGATGTGCAAAAAACTTCTCTGCTCTGCTCCGCACCGCTCTGGCTTGGTGGAAACCGGGCTTATGGGCGGTGTTATCCAAGCTAAAGTCAATCAAGTCCCACCCGCGTGATATTGAATGTATGTGGCTGGTTTTAGTGTCACGCGGACTGTCAGTGCGGATCGCTCCGCACGGCCAAAATGTATGAACTTTTAGGGAGCGTTTTAGAGTAATGCGGTCCGGAGGAACCGCTCCGCTCCCTAGCAGTTCATACAGATCGGCTGTGCGAAGCGATCCGCACCGGCCGGTCCGCGTGACACTAAAACCAGCCTTATGTTTATGCAGGAAGTGTCGTGTCCCGCGGATGAATCCCTGGAGCGTGCGGTGTCATCCGCCATCACCAAGCTACACGCTGCGCTGGCGCCCGTGCGACCGCCTGCGCCGCCGCCGACCGAGTGACGTCACACCGCCGCGCCGCCGCCCGCCGAGTGACGTCACACGCCCGCGCCGCCGCCCGCCGAGTGACGTCACACCGCCCGCTCGCGGCTCTGCATCACGACTAGTGAATACGAGGACTTTAGTGACCATTGATGCTGTGAGCCATTTCCCCTCTATTTGCCCGCGCCAGTAGTAGTTTGTTTTCATTTATTTAGTATATCATCATGATGTTCGTCCGCCATTACCTTCGCGCCACCGTCCGCCGAGTGACGTCACACAAACTCACACAACGGGAGCGCTGCATCTGTGTCGTGGCTAGTGAATACGAGGACTTTAGTGACCATTGACGATGTGAGCCATTTCCCCTCTATTTGCCCGCGCCAGTAGTAGTTTGTTTTCATTTATTTAGTATATCATCATGATGTTCGTCCGCCATTACCTTCACGCTACCGTCCGCCGAGTGACGTCACACAAACTCACACAACGGGAGCGCTGCATCTGTGTCGTGGCTAGTGAATACGAGGACTTTAGTGACCATTGATGCTGTGAGACATTTCTTCTCTATTTGCCCGCGCCAGTAGTTTGTTTTCACTTATTTAGTATATCATCATGATGTTCATCCGCCATCACCAAGTTGCACGCTGGGCTCGTACGTATGCGCCCAACGAGTGACGTCACACAACCTCACCACCGCTCGCGCTAGTGTGTCGCGACTAGCGATACGAGGACGATGAGATGTGACAGTTGATACAGTGAGCCATTTTCACCCATATTGATTGAATTAAGTCGGATCCAGACGAGTGTAATGTGTAATGTAAGATTACGTGTAACGTAAAACGAATTCTACGCGTGGACGGCACTACGAGCATTACATATAAAGTGCTGCCCATACTATTTCCATTACATTACACGATACATTCCATTACGCGTTACACCCGTCTGGACACGGCTTCAGTAGAAGTTAGCAACAGTATTTTGTTTCCATTTATTTAGTACATCATCATCATTATGTTTAGGTCATTTGGTCTCCACTGCCGATGCATGACCCACTCAATCACTTACAAAGGCAAGTGCAGGATTTGGACTACTACTCATGCTGGCAACCCAGGTTGGGCCTGATTGTTTAGTACGAATAGTAACAAAATAGCATTTTTCAAATAACAATCTAAGGAGGATTGAAAAACAGAAAATCAAAACGGATACTTACCTAAATATCCGCGTGTCTCATACGTGTAACAATTGGTCATCGTTAACATTAGTCCAGTCAATAAAGCATTATAGATGGAAAACTGTAGAACACAATTTCTGACTTCAGGACTTTATTTAGACTAGTTAGGACGTGAACATAGCAAAAGTCCCCGCCCTTAGCCCTTGAGCCGGCGGGGAGAGGGGGGTTTAAAGGTGCCACTTTTCGGTTTTTCGCTTAATCCTCGGAAACTATGCGTCCTAGTGACATGACCACTATGAACCAAAAAAAGCATATTCAATCTGCTACAGATAAGATAGACAAGTTTTTCTATAAATTGTATAGTTTTCGCGGCATCTGCTCTAGAAAGTCTGTAATATTGCAAATTTTATTTTTGTCTTACATGTTCCCATCAGGAGAAAATCGACTAAATCAACAATGAGCAATCATTCTAGACATGCGGGAGCATGTTAAGCCTAGTTCCAGCGAGGGGACTACACCGTGCGTATATTTAGACGAATCACTTTGAGCCACTTTTGAGTCCTTATCACTCAAAAACTACTGTGCATTAACACTTCAAATTTGGCTCATGTGTTGAGACTTACAAGATATACATCAGTTTCAAATTTCATAAATCTGCCTTAAACGGTTCTTTAGATATTGACGTCCAAAAATCTACATGTCTGACCTATAGACCAAATTCTAACCACTTCCAGATGACCTCGAAGGTTCAAATTTGGCATCCAGAAAGGTAGTTATGTAAATACAAAGGAACAAATAAAAAACCAGTAAATTTTAACATTTCACATGTGATAGATAGATAGTAGTGCTCTAAATATCGATTTTTGAACGTCAATACCTAAATAACCGTTTGAGGTATATTTATGAAATTTGAAGCTGATGTACATCTTGCAAGTCTCAATACATGAGCCAAATTTGAAGTGTTAATGCACAGTAGTTTTTGAATGATGAGGAGTCAAAAGTGGCTCTAATTGGTTCGTCTAAATATACGCACGGTGCAGTCCCCTCCATGGAACTAGGCTTAACATGCTCCCGCATGTCTATAGTGTTTGCTCAATGTTGATTTAGTCGATTTTCTCCTGAAAGGAACATGTAAGACAACAATAAAATTTCCAATTTTACAGACCTTCTAGAGCAGATGCCGCAAAAACTATACAAGATATAGAAAAACTTGACTGTCTCACCTGTAGCAAATTGAATAAGCTTTTTTTGGTTCATAGTAGTCATGTCACTAGGACGCATAGTTTCCGAGGATTAAGCGAAAAACCGAAAAGTGGTACCTTTAAACCCCCCTCTCCCCGCCGGCTCAAGGGCTAAGGGCGGGGACTTTTGCTATGTTCACCACCTAACTAGGCTAAATAAAGTCCCGAGGTCAGAAATTGTGTTCCATGGATTTCTCTCTACACCGTCGTTAAGGCATTCATTGACTGGACTACATGTTGTCGACTGCACTTATTTTTTGCTAATGGCAACACTCATTGTCAAACTTGAGCCAATATAGTCCGTCTATAGTAACTTGGATGTTATTATGAAATTTTTCACATTACAAATACAGTTGTGTATACTAAAAAATAATAACAAATTAAAATGCGTAATATTATTTACGTATGCAAATGGAACCAATAGAACGGGTCTCTAGAAATGCTAGTGTAAGTGTACTGATAAGACTGTTAATATGATTGTATGTTTAAATGAAATGTAATAAATATTTTTAAAACAATTTACTACAGTTCATTTATTTTTTTCTGCTACTATACAAACTTTAATCCTATTTTGTAAACTTACACGGGATATAGCCCTAGTTTTTTTTAACGAGGGGAAATTAAATAATAGAATTTATTTTATATAATTATTCATTTATTTACAAAATTCTTAAATCACTCATAAGAGCGCACAGCGCTATGAATAATGTTGAATAAACAGCGGTGACATTTATTTACACATCCGTATTATTAATCCAAATATAACCATACATTCCTTTAAATCAGTGGTTCTTAACCGGTGGTCCGCGGACCACTGGTGGTCCCTGGAGGCATTCCAAGTGGTCCACGAAGACATCGTAATAAACAAATGACGTGACGTGATGAATCGAGTCAACACAATGACTTATGCTATATGACATATACTAACTATATGCAAACGGCGCACAGTGGGCGAGAAATCGACCTCCCCTTTAAAAAAAAATAAGTGGTCCCTGACAAGACAGAAATTTGGTAAAACGGTCCCTCGTGACTTAAAGGTTAAGAGCCACTGCTTTAAATCATTTCTACATAATATTGTAATGTGAATTGTCATTTAAAAAAACTATCAGTCTCTCTGGGACACGTAGGTACGTGTTATTCGCTCTATCTTTACACCTTCTCTCTTGATTCTGCATCTTACTTGTACTGTATTCATACAAAACCTTGTCGGCTCAGTTTTAGTTAAGCTTTAGTCGCAGACCACCGACTTTTAGTTGGCGGATAGGGTCAGGCTGTTAAATCAGTATGGTATCGGTCGATTCTTCATACAAATTAGAATCGGACTCAATTATCGGCCGACTAAGTCTGTAGTTTTCGGGGAGTCTTAGTAGGGACTATTCCCACCATTCGTTCCCACTTCTGCGACCCGTAGCTGGAGTCTGCAGTTTTACGCTCGGCTCGATGCCTATTCCGCTCCCAAACTCGTGCCTACTTACAGGTCTTAAAAATAAGTATAGATCGCTTCATCCACGAAGATGCGCCCCACCATTCTTCCGCTAATGTTTGAGTGTTATCGGTACACGCTATATTTATCCATGAGTGCACACGCACACTACAATAATGACGCTCGGATTGCTTGGATCAAACTCCCCGCACCCGCTTCCCTCGACCAAAAATTAGTGGGGCGCGTCTTCGTGGATGAAACGATCTATAACTAAGGCCGGCAATACACGGACCGCTTGAAGCAGTCAGGGTCGACAGCTGTAATACCAACTGCTTGAGCAGTTATCACTGGCAGCTTCAAACTGTTGACTCTCAAGAGTGGTCCGTGTATGTTGATCACTGACTAACTGCTCGAGCTGTCTGTGTATGGCGGGCCTAAGGCCTCAGCCTCGAATTTAGCGGGCAGCGGCGCGGGAGCGGGGCGGGCAACGCAGACCCGTTCTCGAAACAAGCGGGCAGCTCGCGCGGCGCTTTAGCGGCGAAGTGTTGTGTTCGGGGTTGTGTTGTCGAGATATTTGTTTTTATTCGCAAACGAAATGTCTGAATTTTATTTCGATTCAAATTTATTCCTAACGCTCGATTTATTGTGGGCAAAAGAAGGAGTGCGCTGCCCGCTCGTTGCCCGCTCCCGCGCCGCTGTTTTCGAGAACCGGTCCGTTTGATTTTACGCATAAGATCCTGCCGCTCCCGCGCCGCTACCGCCGCCGCCCCGCTGCCCGCTAAATTCGAGGCTGAGGCCTAAGTGGAAGTCAACAGTAAGTAATGTTTAGTACATTCGCCTACGAGCTCTTGGAGTATCGCTTCCAGAACTTCTTGACGTCGTCGTGTCCCGCGCGCGTCACGACCATGGTGCGCGTCCGCTCGCTTTCCCACGTTAGTACTCCCGCGCTCTTGGCGTAGTCCCGCAGTACCACGAAGTCCGCCTGCAATTAAAAACTCATTCAAAACTCTAAAACTCATTTATTTCTGTAAATAGGCTTAAAAAAAAACACTTTTACACGTCCCAGTATTAACCCTACCACTGCTTCAGGACAATAAATGGGCCAGTGCTGAGAAGAAGCAGCGCAAGAAACTCAGACACTACACAATAATATACAAGTCATGCTTTTATGTCTGAGAGTCCTCCTCCTGGAAATGAGCTCCCTTGGCTTAACTGGAAGTCTTTAAAATAGACTACTAACGCAAGTCAGTCGTAGTAAGGACAATAGTTGTAGTGCAAGGTGGTTTTTGTCCCCAGTCGACAAAATGATGTCGTGCCCTGCGTGCCCAAACAACTTCACGCAGGAAGATTTAATGAAGGCTACTGACAACGCCACTCGTGTGGCGGCGTTTTGGGCTGACATTGTGTAGGTTTGTTGTCGACACGACAAAAAGAATGCTTTTACATACAACCGATTCAAAAAAGACCGATAAAGATTGCAGGAAGGCGCTGGATGCAGGCCACTTTAAACCGGCCAATCTGGAAATCATTGGGGGAGGACTAGGTGATTGGAGGGTGGGGTTGCAAAACTAAGGGGTTTTACATGTTGGAGAGCTGCAGGATACTTCGTACGAGAAGTTTCAGGTGGTATGGTGTCATGGTGGAAGGTGGGGTTGCACAAATTAGGGGGTTTTACAAGTTGGGGATTAAATTAATCAATTATTGTCTGCACATCTGACATGCGAGAGGTATACATACACTGGACAGGAACTGGTTGTAGATGACGCCGTCGGTGTAGCTGAAGCGGTTGCGCTCGGTCTCCCACAGCCGCACCTGGTCCACCACGGTGGGCGGCAGCACGCCGCTGCTGCGGATGCCGCCGGTCTCCGTCTGCAGCATCTGAGAACGAATGATGAAGATAAGGCCCGGTTTCCATCAAAGCGGAGCGGAGAAATGTTTTGAATAACCAATCAGATTTCATTTTGTCAATTTCATTTAATCTGATTGACATACGACGACCGATAAAGTCCGGTCGCCTAGCAAATAGAATTTCGTTCAATGACCCCAAGCTACCCGTCCTTATCGCTGCGCGTAATAATATTGCTGTCGCGCTCGCACACTCATTGCGGCCGCCCCTCGCAGTCGCGACAGCGATAAAGATGGGTAGCTTGGAGTCATTGGACGAAATTCTATGTGCTCGGCGATCGGATTTTAGCAGGGAAACGCTGGACGCAGGTCGCTACCAATCCATCAACATGGAAAACATTGGGGGAGGCCTATGTTCAGCAGTGGACGTCCTATGGCTGAAATGATGATGATGAAGGATTGACATAATGATAGGTTGTTCAAAACACTTCTCTGCTTTGCTACACCTCGGTTTTCGGCCTAAAGATAGCTTCGCAGCATCTGCACAACAAAAGTACAGCAGAGCTACTCCGAAGTGCTGTTTATGTAGTTTCGGGTTTACCTGTCACCGTCGCTCATGCTGGCATTTCGCTTTGCATGAGAGGGATGGCAATGGCAATATTCGAAACTTGGATGTTTTTCAAATCATTTATTTTTGTTGCAAAATCGCCCCTGTCTTACTGGTAGCGAGTCCACTTGAGATCCGATTTCCACCAAACCGATGATGGAGAGAGATGTGTTTGAATTACCAAAGCAAATATCCTAACCATAGCTTAGAGGAGAGGTGATGTGAAAATAACGAAGTTCGATTGCTTATTCCAACATATCCCTCCACTTTGGTGGAAGCCAGTCTTTGTTACCTGCGGATGCGAGTGTTGCTCGAGGTAGTGTATGAGCTGATCAGCCGTGATGCCGCCGCGAAGCGCCATCCGAACCGACTCACGAGTTAATACGCCCACCACGAGATTTGGGAACCTGCAATGGACATCGATTAGGTAAGTGATGTGCACGAGGTTTTGATTAAAGTTGTATAACATTATTAACTAACCATAGGACAAACATTTTAATGTGGTTAATAGAGAATCTGAAAAAGAGACTGGCAATAATGGTCCCGCAGCAGTGGACAGTGTTAATACTGGGACGTGTAAAAGTGCTTGTCAAAGTCTACTTGAAAAATAAAATGAGTTTTTTATGACTTTTTTATGGAAGCCTTTACAGGATAGACTTACGCCCTGTGGCCTAATTCACGTATTTTGATAGTCAAGATCTCGCCGACGTTCAGAAGTCGTCCCATTGAAAAACAGTTCTAAATCCGTATTCACAAGGGTCATTTTTATAGAACGACTTTCCGCATGCGGCTTCGCGTGGAATTTTGTCTGTCACAGAAAAACTTATCGCGCGCGTCCCTGTTTCAAAAACCGGGATAACAACTATCCTATGTCCTTTCCCGGGACTCCAAACTATCTTTATGCCAAATGTCATCAAAATCGCTTTAGCGGTTTATGCGTGAAAGCAAGACAGACAGACGGAGAGTTACTTTAGTGCACTAATAAAATATTATTATAGAAGTATAGATTACTCGATCAATCAATCAAATCAAATCAAAAAATATTTATTCAGTTTAGACCACAAGTGGCACTTATGAACGTCAATAGAAAATAATAAAAAAAAGAAAAAGGTAGCCCTTATGGGGCACTTTACATGTCTCCTTATCTTTTGGGCCCTACCAGCGCTTCGAGACAAACATAATGGCAAGTGCTGAGAAGAAACGCCGGAACAAACTCAGTCACCACTTATTGCCAGGAATTATCTAACGGTAAGAATAGTCAAATTTAAGTACATCAAATATGTGCAGACTGAACTGACCACGCATCCTTGTCATCAATATAGTCTCGAACCTTGTAGTACCCTTTGGACATAAGGGTATTTTTTATATGTATCTTAAATTTGTTTATTGGCAATTCGACAAGGTTGTGTGGTATTTTGATATTATATATAGATATTTTGTGGTATTGGATAGGATCGCAACTCAGTGATTTGTTGTCATTGACATTTTGGTACGTCGTCCCATTGAAAAACAAACGTCACGTCACCTGTAGACGAGCTCGGTGAAGAGCCCGAGGAGCGCCACCTGCAGGTTGGACTGCGTGTAGGCGTACACGCGGTAGTTGGTCTCCGCCACGAGGTACCCCGCGCGTCCCGCCGGCGCCGCGCCCGTATCGCGAACGCGCGCGATGTTCAGCGCCAGCCGCGTCGGGTAGAAGCGACCGGCTTTGCGCTGCAACCACATTCATCGTTAAGCCTTGATCACACGTACCGAGAAAACGGGCGAGACAGTAAAATGTTTACTCGGTCGAGACAATTATGTAAGCGAGTAGCTGTTCACACGTGTTTTGAAATTAGCACAGTCAGTTCAGTTCTATTAAGACTTTTTTTTTCAAAATCAAAATCAAAAATATTTATTCAGTTTAGACCACAAGTGGCACTTATGAACGTCAATAGAAAATAATAAAAAAAGAAAAAGGTAGCCCTTATGGGGCACTTCACATGTCTCCTTATCTTTTGGGCCCTACCAGCGCTTCGAGACAAACATATGGCAAGTGCTGAGAAGAAACGCCGGAACAAACTCAGTCACCACTTATTGCCAGGTATTATCTAACGGTAAGAATAGTCAAATTTAAGTACATCAAATATGTGCAGACTGAACTGACTACGCATCCTTGTCATCAATATAGTCTCGAACCTTGTAGTACCCTTTGGACATAAGGGTATTTTTTATATGTATCTTAAATTTGTTTATTGGCAATTCGAGGTTGTGTGGTATTTTGTTAAATATGGTAATACATTTCCCCAAGAATGAATTACCTATCTTATGCAACCTAAATGATGGCGATTTTCTCTAATCTGGTGGCGAGTGGCAAGACAGTGCACGTTCAGACCTGCCGAGAGAGCGAGCGAGATAGTGCGGGAGGGTGGACACTCGGCCTAGTAAGTAGAACGGGAGTCGAGCTACTGTCTCGCCGCTTTGCTCGGCCGATCACTCGGCGCTATGTTCATACGCACCGAGTACTCGGCCGAGAGCACTGTCTCGCCCGCCCGATTACTCGGTACGTGTGATCAAGGCTTTAATAGTAGTACATTCTAAAGCCTGGTCCGTGAGCACGTAGAATTTTGTCCAATGACCCCAAGCTGCCCATCCTTGTCGCTCGCGCGAAATTATGTTGCTGTCGCTTTCGCACACTCACTGCGGGCGCCCGTCGCACAGTCGCGACAGCAATATAATTACGCGCGAGCGATAAGGATGGGTAGCTTGGGGTCATTGGACAAAATTCTACGTGCACACGGACCAGGCTTTAGTATGTATTATATTTTAAAGACTGTAAACCCTTGAAAAGGAGGCTGACAATAGTGACTGAGTTTCTTGCGCTGCTTCTTCTCAGCACTGGCCCATTTATTGTCCCGAAGCAGTGGTAGGGTTAAAATTGGAACGTGTAAAAGTGCTTTTTAAAAGCCTAATTGCAAAAATTTATGAGATTTATCAGTTTTTATAGACCCACATTTTTTTGCGTCGGGAAATGCTTCGTATACCCTCTGGTCGATGGGGACAGTTAAATTCAAATTCAAACTTTTTATTGCATTAGTGGGTTACGTGGGGCTCCCCGCCAGGAGGGCGGGGCCTGCCTACTAAATTCCGACCGTGTCCTCCTGGGCGATTGAAACGAAGTCGCGAGTTATTGTCCCAATATTGGACATTCGTCCGCGGCTCCGTCTCAGGCTACGGCTCGCTCTTGGGTCGTCCGCTAATGTATAGACCCACAGCACTGAATCGTCCCAGCTATGACATTGTCAGGAGGGCGCTACTATCATTACTGGGTTATTAGTTTCGATTTTTGCCACATCGGAAAACACTAAAATGTCAGGATGGATGCTACTCTTAATACTGGGTTATTATTCCCAGTAGTTACTAGCATAACAACATACAAAATGTATTTCGGGCTTGACTTTACAATATTGTCTCCAAAAGATTTATTATGAAATTGGTGATCCATCATTTAATGGCAATATAATAGACACAAAACGAGCACTCACCTTCCTTTGGTAAACCAGTCCGAACTCTCTCAAGTGTTGCAAAAATACTAACATGTTGTTGCTCATTCCCTCTGTACTGTAATCCTGGAAAAAAGCAAATTATTTTATGTACAGCCTACAACCCAAAATCAATGTACTCTTTAACAATCCAATAAAAACTTCACCCATAAAAATAAGTACAACCCAGTCGAGTTAACTGCGTACCTGGCAGCCGTGACGTCACATCGACGCTCTGGTACGGACGGGGCAAACGCGGGAAGGTTTGCGGGTAAGTGGGAGGGACTGTCGCATTCCAGCCAGGTGCGCCTTTCGACTGGTTTACGATTTTTTGTGCACTTTGTCTAGACCCACAGTATAATTTAAATTATATGTCCTAAACAAATAAAAAAGGGAAAATTAAATTTTCTTTGACTAAGAAGATCCCATTTTGACGATCACATTACTGATCTCAACATCAATCAGAAGAGGGATTGATCTTAATTTTAATAATTATACAAACGATCTTTGAAAATCTAATAATCGTCTGTTGCAGTCCGTAAATGACATTTACAGAATTGCGATTAACGAGAGATTTTGTCGCATCACTAGTAGATCAACTGACATAGACTAAAAATTCGTCAATGTCAGTTGGCCATATTTGTTTACATTTAGGGAATTTTCTACAGAACTAAGGTATACATCAAACGTCGTCACTAGCGAGCGCGTTAAAAAAATATTGAAGATGAAGTTAGGCGCTGTACAATCTGTCATACATTTAATGTCACTTTTACGCAGTAATTAGTGAAGACGTTTGATGTAAACTCACACTAAGCCCCCTGGTAAGTTATGGCCTTAAGGCATTAAATTCGCCTTATGTTCCAATTTGTTTGGCATTAAAGATTAAATAAGTTACCTTTCCCAAAGTGCTGAAGCTGAGCTGGTAGAGGAAGGCCAGGCACTCGGCGGCGCTCATGGAGCGCTTCTCCGCCGTCAGCAGATAGTGCTGCAGGAACAGCCACACCTGCGGACAGGGCGGAGACAAGTTGGCTACAACTTTACATGAACACAATGAACGTTTAGTTCATTCAGGTTAAGGGCCTATGCTAAATACTACGCTAAATTTCGTATCTCTCTTAGCCAATGCCACCGATTTTTAGTCGGCCGATAGTTGGGCCCGATTGTAATTTGTATGAAGAATCAATCGGTATAATGTGCGCACCTCCATACATGCCCATATTGCCCATACTGATAAACTGCCCGACTAAACTATCGGCCGACAAAAAATCGGTGGTCTGCGCTTAGGTTTAGCTACTTGACATTGGCAGAACCACTGCGTGGCGCCCTGAGCGCTTCAGCGGGACAGTCCATCCATACCCAAAAAAATAAAAATAGAATATACACGCCCGCACTGCGCATATGGGAACCCATCACACGCATGCGCTGCTCATATTTTTCACGCGCGTGCGAGTTTTAGCGTAGCTGAGGGTTTAATTAAAGCTTCAATCGCGAATTTAGTCTGCAACTATTTAGAAATTGAAAATCAGTGTAATTTTATTATTTGTGCCGTTCTTGTATAAATAAAAGAGATTACAATAAAGAGCTGTGGTTTTCTGAATAAAGAAAAAATAAAATAAAACAATAAGTATAACACACCTGTTTTGGAGTACTCAATAGCAGAAATTGAAACCCAGCGCGTGTTATCACTGCGGAATTATCTTCAGCGTCTCTGTAAACAAACTCGATTTAAGTGATACATAAAATAATTAATTTTACCAATGCAGGTTCTTTGATTTTCAATTAGTCTTATCAGGGGACAAAAGACAGTCTTCGTCACAGAATGCGGGTCTAATCGGTGACGGCGTAATTAACCGACTGGTTCTAAATACGTTAAACAAATTTGGGTGTAAATTGGGTGCAAATGACGATATTTCCGAGTGCAAAAAGACGTCTAAACGTCTAATTAAACCTGTTATTCATAGGTAAGAATAATTTAAGTTTCGAAAGTCATCAGGTTAGATAAAGTTCCAGTAAGCACATAGGCTCCAGAGAGACTGATTTCTGCTTGTTCCCGAGTCACACTCAAATGAGTTGAACATTTATTTTAAGACAAACCTCAAAAGGATTTAAGACACTATTTAAATCAAAGATGTAACGGCTAAATAATGTAATAATAAATAAATAAATGACCCTGTTACTTGATGGGAATTTTTTTCCCAACGGTTAACAGGGTTACTTGTTTGGGTGTGACTGTTTGGAAACGACCTAATTTCATTGCCTTTTTTCAGAGTTAGATAAAGTTCTGAGGCTATTCTCTGAGCGTTTTGACTGTCAGTACATGAATCATTGTTGCATGATTTATTTATTTATTTTATTTATTTATTTATTATTCATTATTGAGCAATTACATATTTGATCCAAATAGCGTTCTAAATCCTCTTTAGGTTTGTCTAGACACTATTGTTCTCTATACAAATAAAAACTGACATTATTAAAATTATTTTTGAAATAATTGTAATATTTAAATTGTAATGTTGGATATATTTTATTGATGTATTTAATTTAAATTTTAATGTAACTAACCTAAACTAATATGATCCCAATGTGATTGAAATAAATAATTATTTAATTTAATTTTAAAGTTCGAATCTCGTACCTGGTCATGAGGCCGGCGTGCAGCAGGATGCGCACGGCGTCGGCGCTGATGCCCTCGGTCTGCGTGCTGCCCACCATGTAGTGCAGCACGCACTCCCAGCGCTCCAGCGCGTACGCGTCCAGGAACGCCACGTCGCGCGCCTTGCCGTCCGGCTCCAGGGAAGACGAGAGGCTCCACGGCCGTCCGCTGGGGACCAAACAAATTTTGTTAACTGAGTTGCACCACCTAACTTTAACAATAACCAGTGCTTTCTGTATGAAGTTTGACAGCCTTTTTACAGCTGTCCTAACAGACATCCTGTCTTTAGAAAAGTTAATATAGCTATAAAGATAACACAATTTCTTTAATTTATCAAGCCACTTTCTTAATTTTTCTTACATAGGAAACCTAACAATAACTTACTGTTTGTTATAACCTCGTAAGCCCGGATGTGCCTCAGAAGGAACTGAAACTTTGTAGTCAGTAACGCCGAGACATTTTCGGAGGTGATTTCGAAGTATCGCCGGATGTGCCTTCAGAGGAACTTAAACTTTAGCGACAAATTTAAGTTCAAAAATTCGCGCCTATTGAAAAAAAAGAGTGATAGTCTATGGCTTAAAGTATTCAAAATCAGGTATCCGAACTTATTAATATAAAAAAAACAAAATGTCACTCAGGGCCGGATTAACCATCTCGGGGCCCCTAGGCACAGCTTATTTCGGGCCCCCCCACAAAACCGCAATTTGGAAATTTTTACTGTCTACATTACGAAATAGAATGAAGGTACCATCATCATCAACAACAGTGTACCTACCATGAGTTTACGTTAGGTGTGCTCGCTAGCGAGTACGTCAAAAATCTCTATGAAGATTGTTTCTTGAATGTAGCCGCTAGGGGCGCTGCACAATATGTCATACAATGAATGTCATTTTTTTACGCAGTCGCTAGCGAGCACACCTAACGTAAACTCATGGTAAGCTCACAGACTTCAGTCATCACATTGCAAAGGTATACGCCTTCCTTCAAGTGAAAAGACTTTCGCCACTATCTCGTACAGCACGAAGTATCGGAGTCATTTAAAAATGAAACAAAGAATAGGAAAATCTTGCATATTTTTATAAAACTAACATAAACATTAAAAAATAAAAATGTACATAAAGTCATGTAAAACAAAGCAGTAATGCCAACTAGGCCAGTAGAATAAGACATGAAAATCAATCAAATCGGAAATAATTCCTACAAAAGGTTTTCTTGTTTTAAACAGCAGATCTGTGACAAAATTTCGTTTGTCACAGATCGTCATAAATTATAGCCTATATGTTATTCTGGGTTATAAACAATAATACTGTAAAGTTTCATAAAAATCCGTTCATTAGTTTTTGCGTGGAAGAGTAACAAACATCCAGACATCCAAACTTTCGCATTTATAATATTAGTAGAATGGTTTCATTTGTTGCTCTCCTAGGTTTTCGACTTCGACGGAGTTGTGCTTAAGTGGTGTAGCCCCCCGAAAGGGGCATTTTTGCGGTTTTACGGTTATACCATGTAAAGGACTTGAAGTATCGAAAACTGATCTTCATGATGATTGAAGGGCATTTAAGTAACCCTGCATTGAATAAGACCAAATTCGTATATTTTGGACAAACCGTTCTCGTGCCTGTCTTCGACAAAGTAGAAAATATACGTTTAATAACCCTCTCGTCACCCGCAAGCTCCAATCCAAAGCCTTGAAAAGGGCCACCTTAACCAGCATATTCCTGTCAAGCCTCGCGAGTTGGATTCGTCTATCCTTATTCATCCCAGTGCAGCCGTTCCTTTACTACGGTTGCTGCACCTCTTCCTTGCACTCTCTTGAACGACTCTAGTGTTATCTACTGTGGCTGCCCCTCTTCCTTGCACCCTCCTGCACGACTGCGTTGCCAAGTCTTACAGCTGGTCCAAGGTCCGACTCCAAAAATCAACAACAACAGGTTCATATTAAAATCGTTTGTTTGAACACGCTAATCTCAGAAACTAGTGGTTTGATTTAAATAATTATTTTTGGCATGTATTTAAATGATCTTTTTAAATTAGCAAAAACGGCAATTAAAAAAATCTAAATGGTCATCTATTTTAATGATTGATCCTCTTTCTTTGAGACATAAAATAAATAAAATCGATCGATATTTTAATCTCTTTTGAACTACGCAAAAAAATATTGAGATGTAAAAATTATATCTGATCGTTACTTGTTGGTCCTCAAAAATAAAAGAAATGAGCACCAAATATTCAATATTGTGATACTTTTTTAAATAATTCGATTTGTATAAATTATTTTTTGTCTATATCAAATAATCTTCAAAATAATTATGTTATGGTACATATTTTTACTAAGTTNTTACTTTTCCTTTTTAAAGTCTGAAATACCGAATGTTCTTTTAAGAGAAAACATTTTTTTATTATTTTTCACCTAAAATAAGCTCTATGCACCATTATATAGGGCCCCTGAAAATATGAATGCAAAAGAAAATCTCTAACATAGAAATTTTTTTACTCGAAGTGCTCGGTGTTTACTACTACAAACTATTCGTTCTTCTGAAAGCACATTCGGCGATACTTAGAAGTCGACAAAATTTACTCTTCGGTCTTACGAGGATAAACACAATATAAAAGAATTAAAGAAATCAGTCTAGCCCTTAACATGATATGCGATGACCAAGGTAAATAGGGATAAATTTTTATTTGAAAGATAATGCAGGCCATAACAGGGTGTTCATTTGGGGTTTTATATTGGCAATCCTGTCAGTTACTTTTTCAGGACAATGTGTATAATTTCACTTACCCTCCCAAAAGAGAAACCTTCAAATTCTTCTTGAAAGACTGCGCCAGCATCCACCCAGGCATTCCACCGGGAATGGGTGCCTCTTGCCATACTGACAGCTCAGATAAGGCCTCACATGCTTTATTCTGTTCCCTGGAATTGTGTTGATTAAAAAAAGTGTTCTTCTTCTCAACGCTTTTTAAACAATTCTTCTTAACAATTCTTTATCTCAACTCAGCTGATCATTTCTAATATTAAATGCACTTACTTGGCAAAGGTTTGAGATACCCACGATGTTACCACCGCTTGTGGCACAGGCTGTTCAACGAATAGCAGGCGTATTACGAAGTGCCGAGCAAGTTCAGGCAGTTCCCTATAGAATAAGAGAACAAAACATCAAACAACCATAGAATAGAAGAATAGAAGTTAGCAAAACATAACCTCAAATGTTATAACTTTTTAAATATTCATAAAAACCATTTTTACCGGTATACTGCCAAACAAATTGTAGGATAGTTGTATAGTGTTTCCAAAAACTGTGGAGTTCGACTTTTCAGGTATTCATGAAGATCTTTATATTGCAAAGTAGGCGACGGGTTTAAATTTAATGAAGATTTCGATTTTGATGACTCCGACATGTTGCTTAGAGATAGAAGTAATTCACTATTAACTGCTTAGACATATAAAGTAAATAAATTATTATTATTTTATAAACAAACACCAAAAATATCACAACACAACCACCAAAAACAAGACGTGACGAAATGTCAACTGATGTCAACTTTGACAACTGACTGACTGACCGCAAATCATATCATAGACTAATATTTTTTTCCTTGTCTAATTTCCGCATCTGGGTTTCGGGATTTGGACATAAAGGGACCCGATTCTTTCATTTGGCAGTGGTTACCAACATTTGGCAGTACACGGAAAATAAAAACTGCGCTTTCACTATAACTAAATAAAACGCTTTAATGTCGCTTTAATAAGATTTGGAATAGCAAAATTCTAAATTATTTATTTGAGTAGATTAAAGTTAATTGATTGACTGAACTGCTATGATGAATAATGATGATTAACTTAACCTTTTCCTTGCATTGGATTTGGCATCCTATGACATACATAAATAATATTGTGCATTGAAAGTTTCTTGATTTACAGTTACAGCGGGTAGTTCAAAAAGTAGACTAAATAACCCACTGCCTATTTTTTTAAAAGTTTTTAGGATACAAGTGAGATATAAGTGTTTAATGATGGGGATTATATTCGTTGTTTTGTTATTTTATCAACAATATTTTTGATAAGTTACAGAAATTCTTATCCCATCTATGAAAGCATTTTGGAATAATTACACTACCTATCTACTACGTCAAGAGTATTTTTTACTTACCTACTTACTCGTATTTAGATTAAAACTTACCCACCACGAGTTTGGCCAACTTAACCAACATTTCCGACAACCTGAAAAATATGAATAAACTTATTAAATTCTGGTGAGTCATCTATAAAAATGTGTCTAATAAAAAAAATCATTCAAACCATCGGAATAGGATTGCTTAAATCAGTTGAACTTGCTTGTTATATTTTTTTTGACACCCGAACATGAAAATACGAAGAAACGGAGAAGATGTTAATGTAGAAGTAACAGTTGAAAGTTAATAGTTTTTAATTTTTACGTTATTTTTTTACATATAGTAAGAACGTTGTCCAGTATAATTCCAGTCAACAATGGTAAGTCTTACTTAGCTACCCATTTTTTGTTTTAAGTTTAAATACTTAATTCGTAGGTTTACTTAATTAAAAGCAACAATATTTAGTAATACTTAACTTGTATTGAGATTTTATGTTGAATTAGCGAAATCCACCTACACAAAATCTCTCAATGCATCTTAGTTTTACCTGTAATATTAATTTAATACGCATGGTAAATGCTAAGTTACACTAATTAGTACGGCGGCTTTTTCAAGAAGTCCCCGGGGAGCGAATGGAAAAAATACGTGCCTACATACCTTGGTGATAATCCATGTGAAAAAAAAGGTTTACTCACACTACTGCCTGAATGACGCATACGAGTGTATTTCCAAATACGTACGTACGGGTTTACCGAACACACACAGACGCAAATAGGCGAGTTTACCACATTCATTCTCGTCGGCAGATGGCGGATGTAGTAGACGCCCTCCGTCAGTCGCGCATAGACAACTCGCCGAGCGCAGTGTGATTGCGATTCGCTCAGCACCATTTTGTGTGTATCGTTTCGAACGGGACATTGTGTGTATGTGCTCCGAAAATAATTGTGAACAATCTTCAAAGTTTTAAGTCGTGTTCAGTGTTTTGTTTTCGATATGCCCGCGGAGGGATCGATGAGATATCTCGGGCGCCTGTAGAAACCGCGCCTCCGTCATGAGCGAGTGATCGTCGACGTAAAAAAAAGTTAACACAGGAAACATGTCTGGGCGGACCGCCGACGCGGATACGAGCAAAGGGTTCCAGTTCGAAATTCGAAAGCGGTCATGTCATCGCCTCTCGGATTTCGTATAAGTCACCGTCCAATGTCAAAATCGTGCACGTACCGCGAGCGCCGACCCTCCGGATCGTGCGGAAAATGCAATCGTTGGTAGTTTGGTGGGCGGTGGTGTCGGCGGCCTGGGCGCTGGCCGGCGCGTGCTCCAGCTCCATCTCCAAGCGGCCGGCGCGGCCCGCGCGCCCGCAGCGCCCGCCGCCGCAGCCGCAGCCGCAGCCGCGGCTCAACGTCACCTTCCCCACGTTCAAGTGCGAGCCTGACTACTCGGAGTACTACTGCCTGAACGGCGGAGTGTGTTTCACAGTGGTGATATCGGACAGTCCCATCTACAATTGCGAGTGCCGGAGCGGGTTCGTGGGCCAACGGTGCGAGTTCAAGGACCTGGACGACTCGTACGTGCTGACGAGCCGGCAGCTGATGATGGAGACGGCGTCGATCGCGGGCGGCGCGACGGTGGCGGTGTTCCTGGCGATTCTAGTCTGCTTCGGCGCGTGGGTGCGCCTGCACCGGCGGGCCAAGGCGCCGCCGTTCGCGGAGGAGCGCGGCGCCGTGCAGCTGGTGGCCGTGGCGGCGCAGGGCCGCGTGTCGCTGCTGCCGGCGCCCGCGCCCGCCGCGCCGCCGCCGCCTCCGCACTGATGGACTTGTTGAACTCTGAACCGTGTACATATAGATAGATTATGTGTTAAGTTATGTCGAGAGAACAGAAGATATAAGAAAAATTTATGTGATAATTATTTTACGAATCTTATAATTTATTTCGAAGGAATTTCTTTTGTATATACTGATCGGATGCCTTTGGAAATTACTGTTCCATCGCGGATACAAATTTCAGTCTCCCCCCAGTGTTTGTTTGTGAATCTGTATTATTTTGTTCATATTCAGTGTATCGGATGTGTGAAAGATGACGACCGTGTACTATGCTACTCGCTTCAGTAGAGCTGTTGTTATATTGTTGTCGGCACTGAGTCGGGGACGGCCGAGCTGCTCGGGCAGGGAAGAGAGGCAAGTCTTTGATTTTCCTATTTTGGGATATAAATAGACAGAATGAAGTCCTGTCTCTCTTGCCAGCGCGTGGCAGCCCGGCCCGCATGTTATTGTTTGTTGTGTAGCAGTAAGCACCCGAGTGCCTGCGCAGGCCCGGCCCTGCGCTGTTAGGTAATGTGAATCAATGTTAATTGTATTTATTAGTATTCCGTTCTATACCAATAGAACTGTGATGAATTGTATTTGCGCGCGGCGGACGCGCAGTTCCTAGGGGCGCGAGCCCGCACATTCCATCTGTGGAGAGTGTTTGGTGTCAGTATTATTTTGTAATACAAGTCTTAAGCCGGCAGCTTTACTTTATTTTTTTAATTTATACCTGTTATCCCGCTGGGGTAGTCCTGTATTATATTTGTTTGAAGGCTGAAATGTGCCCTTGATGAAAGGCTTTTTGTAAATATAGCCTGTGTAGGTATTTATTAGATATTTATGATCGTTTATTTATTGACTGCTTTATTTAGTTAATCTTGATCAGTCTCATGGGCCGCCTAACCATAAGGTTGCATTTTCATTTCACCTGCTAAGCACGGCCTCGCCTATTTCCTATTGTAATCTCATTATGAATCTCAATTATGTCATTGTATCTTGTAAAAAAATTGAAACATAACATTGGATGGTGTTAAAACTGCTCCTGCAGTGTAAACTGTCATAGTATTTGTTATAAAGGCATTATGAATGTACCTAATAAAATAATATTGTACTGCCAATCTTGCTTGTAAATTGTATCACCTAATGTAGTCTAAAACCAGTGCCTATTATATTGTAATCTTGCATATACTGGAGCTCTCTATTTAGTGTATTGTATTGTTATTGGCAGTTTAGACTGTGAGGGCCACAAAAAAATAGCAAACGTTAATAATAGGCTGTGACATCACAGAGTATAGGCCAGGGGCGGGGGTCGATAGTTTGATTTTATAATAGACCAGTGGCCCCCGTGGCTGTTTCATGAGTTGACTGCGTGGCCCCCCCGGCCCCTGGCGCGCGTGCCACAACTGTCGGTGTTGTTATGGTGACAGACAAGTCCTATGTTGTATATTGATTCATATGAGATTGTTTATATGAACATTCCAAAGTATTTGTAAAATATTACCTACATCGCTAATAATTTTGATCTATCTGTTAAGACGCTACATTGTTAATTATACAGTTTTCTATTGATCATTTGTTAAAAGAAAATTATACGAAACTAAATCCTTATTTCTGTTTTTCATTCCTATATCAATGCCTTTGCAATCTATAAAGAAACACGTTAGGTAGCCAATACTACACAAATACCTACACTTTACATCACACGCAGAAATAATTATTACACAAAGCTATCATCATAATTTTCATTATCTTGTGAAATCGAACATTACGTTCATATTCTTTCAAATATTTCGAGGAAATAAGATTGTTTGCTGTTCGCTGCGTTGCCTAAAGCGGTGCGCTTAAAAATGCTAATTATTATAATCTTGAACTACTTTTAGATAAAGACCGAAAGATGGCTAGCGTGCTGCCGACGGGTCGCCCGCGCTGGTCGATATCGGTGCAGTTGCTGTAACGATGTCAAAATTATTCAATAATTAATATTGAGGTAGACTGGTTGACGCGAGGGTGGTGAGGTCACACACACTACGTTTTGTGCGCCCACTACTTTTTAGGTTTTCGTAAACTTGTGCAATGTAATCTACACCTGCTTTTATGATTTATAACTTAATAAAACTAAACCATTGTGAAATTGACCAATAACCTAGAGTAATAGACATTGTCACGCGAAGGAAAGTGTTCGCACAATGGGCAACGGTCGTAATGTATTCAGTTGTAATTGAGTTGGCTCGAGTCTTTCATGGTTCACGGCTAAACGGGCGGATTAAAACTACGTGATCCGGAGTGTGACAGAGCTCGGAAAAGTGAAGGCAGGCAAACAAGAGCGGGCCACGGCAGTCCATTGAGCGCTGGGAGCATAATTTTTATGAATACCCCGAGCGGACCGGTCCGCCACCGGCGGCGCATAGAGTTCATTGAATGAGTGCCGAGCGTTTGTTGACATTCCCGAAAACCTGCCCCGCCCGGAATAGCTGTGTATCACAGGCTCCCGATGGATGGACAGCGACAGAAATAGACACCGCTCCTTTCTATACAAAATGCCGTTTTCGGAGTTCATGCTTACGAACTCGCCTATTTTTTATTCAGGATGAGCCGGCTTACGAATCGGAAATGAAGCCGTTGTATCATCGCTGCCCTGAATCGTTTGAATAGTCATGAATGATTTCAGGTATATTTTTGATGAGTGATCGGATATTATTTATTAGGAACATGATTAGGAACTACGTATTACAATCGTGATTCGCATCATGACTCAATAGTAACGTAAAATACTTGATATTTTTGAACTACCGCTCAAAAGTAGAACGAATCGTATTTTAAACTGAATGTAGGCATGTACCTACCTTTTTTTTTTTTTTTTTTTTTTTTTTTTTTTTTTTTTTTTTTTTTTTTTTTTTTTTTTTTTTTTTTTTTTTTTTTTTTTTTTTTTTTTTTTTTTTTTTTTTTTTTTTGCGCAGGAAAATACTTTGCGTATACCCGCCGCCTCGGGGGAAGCGGCGGGTTATGTGGGACTCCCTTGTCGGATGGCAGCAATAGCGGCTGTCACCCGGCAAGTATACCCACTAAAAACCTGCGGTGCACCCTCTGCGTATTACTGGTACGACGCGGGTTGCTTGCGATTCCAACCACGCCGTACCCACGCATAGCCCAGCCTTTGCCGGGCCTCCCGCGCTAAAGAGGGGGTCTGCCGGTACACTGGTAGACCCCCCCAGACAGGGTGGGACCGTGCAATGTGGGTGATGGGCCCCCCGGCCTAACACCCACTGGTCTCACCTAGGGAGGGGGAGGGAGGAGAGCGAATCTCCTCCTTCTTCCTCCCGGCCGTCTGCGCCGGAGCGCGTGGGCTTCGGGATCCTCTTCCCGAGCCCGTTCCGCGGTCTCCTTCTGCAACATCACCTCTTCGCAGAAGGAGACCATGGCGTCCCACGCGCTCTCGCCCAGGAGCATCGCAACTACGACGCTGGGGAGCGCGAGGTCCGGACCAGTCACCGCAGTCAGAGCCCGGCGCTGCTGGACCCAGGCCGGGCACACCTCGAGGGTGTGCTGGGCCGTATCCTCCGCAGCGCCGCACTCGTGACATACGGGGCTCGGCTCCCTACCAATACGTAACCTACTTTGATTAATTGTTAATGAAAATAATACACTGTAGTAACATCAAAGTATTTTTTTTGTAAAAATATACTTGTAGACCTCTCTTAACCCATTTAGACCTACCGTACCCTATGTGGTACGGTATCTTTTTGGAAATATTTTGAAAAACCAAACTGTTGTTATTTTGTAAAAATGATTGTGGCAGTAAGCTTAAAGTGATTATTTTACATAAAAATATTTAAAAATACGTTTTAACAAGTGGTTTCGGAAATATTTTTGAAATTCCTGGACAGAAAACAAAAAAAAATATTTACAATGTATTCAAGAAGGCATATTTCATGTTATTTATGGTAAATTATATTATTTATCAATTTTATTTTAAAAAATAGAGTACAACAGATATTATGACTACAAAAAAAATATTATTGAGATTATTTTTGTACTGTTATTTCTAGTCTAAAATAGGTGTACCGTATAAGGTACAGTAGGTCTATGCATAAGCAAATCATGCGAGAAAATATAATTTATTTTTTATTATTTTTCTTTGTTTAGGCTAACGATGCTGCACAATATTGCCATAATTCTTGAAAAATTAGATAATTTCAGCAAACATAAAGCAATATTGGTATTTTTCTACTGCTGTCTTGTCAGATGATCACTAATGATGATCAGACTGACAAAGATTCAGGCGATAAAGATAATGTCGATGTAAATAATTACCCTCAGAGTTTTCTGCGATGGATTAGCTAATTTTCCGTCATCGTATTGATAAATGCGGTTATTGATAGCAATAAACGTAACAAGTCAGAAGAAGCCAGGCCTTCATCAGCTATCCTCACTAACTTCGGAAAAGGCAGAAAAAAAGAACCAAATGTGGTTAGTGCCACAGAAAACGTCTTAAAAGGTATGCCAAGTGTGATACTAGTGATTATGTGATATTATTTTTATTTTATATCATACAAAAATAAATAAAAAACTTCTTTGAACAACTAGTATATTTTGCATGCATATAGACCTACTGTACCCTATGTGGTGCGGGCTCCCCACGGCCCCCTTTTTATGAATAATTTTTTTAAATATTTTTTTCATGATTTTTATGCCTTCCTTTGTCAGTTCTTGCTGAAAAATCCATTTTTATTTACAAAAATAATTATCGGTCTAAATGGGTTAAAGACCTCTCCTTTGTCATAAAAACAATGTGGGCTCTTGGACTATTTTTGATGTGGAAAATCGAACTATTCAAAAGTAGGTGAACTAAACTATTTCTGTTCTTCGGTTTTAAACTGCTAGGTCAATTCGTCTGGAAATTCTGCCTTGTTCTATTCAATTCTTATAATCATTAACATCACTGTCTAGATGTCTGTAGGTATTAATTATTGAATCTCAAAGGTATTTGCTACCCAGCTCCTGAACTACAAACCTAGCGTGACAGACGCGTTGATTAGCAACCAATAAATCCAATGCTAATCAAACAAACGTATGTAAAGCGAAAGTAGTTAAGTACTTTCAACAACAATTAGATAGTGGATAGACGTAAGCAAAACCCTGTGAATGAAAACGTCAAGGCGAAGTAGGTAGACAATCCGAGACAATCGTCGCATCCATTGGCGTCCGCGGTGCTCATGGCCAGTTTACGCAGAGCTGCGCCTTCCCTCGCAAGCATATCAAACGTGGAAACTCGAGGAGTGTCGGTGGGGCACGGCAGGGGTCTGCGGCCTGGTCGCGGGTTAGACGGTACGTCGCTCAACCTACGCCAAGTCGGTTATGGTCATCTCAGTTCTAACAGTGGTCATTGAGGCAATTATTATGCCTACGTGCCAGCCCACTTGTCATTACCTCGCTCGCGAAAATCTTCCTGTGACCTGTATGGAGTCCATTGCACAGTATGGTTCGTCAGCTTGGGCCTCTTCGGATTATTGTCGTCTTGTTCGTTTTCTGTTTGTGTGAGGGAGACGAACGACTAATTGACTGAAGAATTTTTCGAGCCTTACGTGTGTTTCGCTTTTGGAGTTATGTGATGTGATGTCAATCGAATTGTTTTTCCTTTCGAGTCGGATTAAGTTTAGATAATTCTTTCAATGAACCAACTTCCTTCATTACTACTGCAATCCGTATTGGGCTCATTATGTGTAACAAAAAGTCGCCTAGTATTATACCTGTTAGGTCTAATGAGCTACATAATACAAGGTTTCAAATACGGTCTAATAGCTCTATTATAAAACAGTTATTATGTAAGTGGGTACGTTAGTTATCTTTAGGTACTATTACTTATTTAAGATTAGAGACTTTAGAGTGTTTAAAGATTAGATGTTAGAGAGTCGTATGTAGCAGATCTGTAGTGCCTTTAGGTTGTGTCGGTTGGCATTGATTGTGAGGATATGTATTGTAGAGAATCCTGAAACATCATACAAACCTCTTCATTTTCCAGAACCAGACTTTCCCCGTAAAAGATGTCTCTTCAACAATATTACTACGTGATAAAATAATTTAGGGCTTTATTCTACAAATTCCCTAAAACAGAAAGCTTTCAAACTTAGGTCGTGATCTGTCAATTTTATTCCATTCGTCAAACTCATATCATCCCTGTCCGATAATGATCCAACCACCAGCCCCGCGTCACCTGTGTGGAAGCCCATCTTCCAGCCGAGTGCGCCTTCCTGCGCAGATGGCACGTGCCTGCGCTGCGCCCGCGCACCCGCCGCCATAGATTATGCCACAATTGACGTGGCGAAGGCACCAGCTATCTGCGACTCGATCTGGGGGGTGGCACGCCTGTCAACAGCTCCAAGATACTTTGCGGTCAGAGGTGATAGCGTAAATGACCATGAAATAAGGACTTCCGGGCTTATTTCTTTACCTGGACAAAATGTTAATGGGAAATGCAGCCAAACATTTTATTGAAAACAATAAAAGGCGATCAAGACCTTATAATGTAAATAACTACATTGTAGAACTCCTTTTACATGTTTATTCTTGGTTTCAGATATGGTTTCCATGCGAAAAGGTCGACTGTCTCA